ATTCTGATAGGAAGTGTTTGTAGTGGTCATATAAATTACCCACAGTTATCCAAAATAACTAAGAACAGCTTGTGAGGTTAAGTGGCATCTTGCAATGAAGTTTCCACAGTTAGCTCAAAGTCTGATTTGGTTATTCCCAGAGTGGCTTTAATATTATTTGTTGTGAATGATGGGGTCAGATTTCATTTAGATTCTTAATAAGTGCAAAATTAATTCTATAGGAACAAAGCATTTCTTTCATGTATTTATTCAAATACAAATCTAAGGCTTATTAGGGCTGTGCACACAACCATCAGTTTAAATAATGCAGCTAGGTCAATCTTTTTCTCAATTCAGGCCAAAGCGGATTTGGTGGCAGATGCATCGTTCCATAAGAAACAACAGGACAGATACAGGATACATATCGACTGTGGCCAATGTCTTGTGTGCACTGCTTTCTGAACCAGTGGCAGGAGCTCACTGGATGTAGAGTCACAGGGAGTGTGTACGCAGCCTAGGTGGTATCTCTGCAGTTGTCTAGAGACAGTTGTTCTGTATCCCAAGACTCATGGTAGCATATCCTGCTATGAAGTTGCATGGCCTCTCAATAAAAGGATATTAGGATGCCATACTATGAGCACAAACTCAGAAGTCCATCCCAATGAATTCAATGGGGATTTGTGCTAGGTAAGTGGTTAGCCCAGAAATGAGTAGGGCCACCCACATAATCCATACAACGGCATCACAGACTGTGATAGAGACAAGATTGCTTTCTCCATTTCTCTCCCCCCCCCCCAGTATCCATATTTTCTCTTCCTCCTTTCTATTAACACATGGTATCTTGCAAAGTTCCATAGGACTGGTCCTTGTTCTCAAGGAGTTTACCCTCCACCTAGGAAGTTGCTTTGTATAGCTCAGTCTGCATAGTCTGACCAGTGGTGGCACCCCAGCTGCATCTCATGGTAGAATCTTTCCCAGCATTGGCTGCTTCTGATATCTGCTTAGCTGAAGATGCTCAGAATTAAACCAGAGACCTCATGCTTGCAAAGTATGGGTTCCACTACTTAGCCATGATTACCTCACAGAAAACAGATCATAACAAAATATTTAGAGGGTGCCATCCAGTATAACAGGTCAGCCCTATTGGGCAGTTGCCAACAGTCTGAGCCCCTGGGGTGGCCAACAGCCTACCCTGCCTGCCACAACGGATGGGGGAGGAATTTGGTGAATGCAAATCTGCTGAAGTTACATTTCCTGAAACGGTATGCCAACTGAAAGACAGCTCTCCTTTGGCAGCTGAGCTTCTCCAAATTTGCCAGTGCAGTTCTCTCATCCAGAAACAATGAACTGCAAGTATTAGGAGAAAGTGTGCATTAAACTGCACATATTAAAAGAAAATGTTCCAAAGCAGATGCAGAAATGTGACTAACTGAATATTGGGGTGGGGGTGGGGGAGAGAGTGCTCAGTGATGGTGTAGTTTTCTGGCCACAATATTCCATGCAGATCAGAGGAAGGTTCAGAGAGGGGGAACCCTCTGCACTTGGACCACTCAGACCAGAGGCTGTGGTCTTACCAGACTCTTCCAGCTTGGAGGCCACTGCTTCCCATCCATCCCTCACTACCTCCACACTACATGAGCCAGTAGTCACAGAATAGGTCAAGGCCCCTCACAGGGGTGGAGCTAATAGGAAGTTCAGACCAGTCAGCTTTCATAAAGCCTCAGAAGAGCTTAGTGCATGGGTAGGCAACCTAAGGCCCAGGGGCCAAATCCGGCCCAATCGCCTTCTAAATCCGGCCTGCGGATGGTCCGGGAATCAGCATGTTTTTACATGAGTAGAATGTGTCCTTTTATTTAAAATGCATCTCTGGGTTATTTGTGGGGCATAGGAATTCGTTCATCTTTCCCCCAAAAAATATAGTCCGGCCCTCCACAAGATCTGAGGGACAGTGGACAGGCCCCCTGCTGGAAAAGTTTGCTGACCCCTGGCTTAGTGTGTTGCTGAGGTAGTAGCTCTCCTTGGGTGAGCCCTCAGGAGCAGGGCTGCTGTGAGCTCTCCAGGGTGCTGGGATGTGTCAGTATTTATTAGATTTGACTGGACTTGCCTTGTTGTGAACCTGGTGATGATGTAGTCAAGTGATACATGTATATATGTGGTTAGGACTGCTTCATATATTACATATGTCTTTCCCCTACACAGTCAAGCAACTACCTGAATTTCAGCTAGGCAACTATTTATAGGATTAAGGGGACAGGGGGGAAATTAAACATAACCCTCTTAACTTTTTCAGAGGTGGCCCTTTTTCCTTTGTACTGTACAGTGGTACCTCAGGTTACATACGCTTCAGGTTGCAGACTCCACTAACCCAGAAATATTACCTCGGGTTAAGAACTTTGCTTCAGGATGAGAACAGAAATCGTGCTCTGGCGGCGCAGCGGCAGCAGGAGGCCACATTAGCTAAAGTGGTGCTTCAGGTTAAGAACAGTTTCAGGTTAAGAACAGACCTCCAGAATGAATTAAGTTCTTAACCCGAGGTACCACTGTATAACAATTCTCCAGCTTGCAGAATTGTTGACAAACTTGATGTGCAAACCCCACATTTCTGACGCAACGTTTTATGTGTGGCCAAGAGAGTGAGTCCAAAAGCTACCCCACTGATGTGAAACATGATGTCACAGCAGTTGAGGCTTGGCTTCTCCAGAAGCAGCCTTTCCCAAGTGGGTGCATTGCAGTGGTTTTGGACTACAATCTGTATCAGCCCCAGCCGGCATGGCCAAAGGTCAGGGATGATGGGAGTTGTAGTCCAAAACAGCCCTAAAGGCTGTAGTAGGTCACAATATTTTTACTTACCTGTGAGCGAAAGAACTCAATCCCATGAGTCACTGCTAAAAAAGAAGGATATGCCTACCAAGTACCTCTGATCTGTCTACCTACCTACTTAATTTCTAATGGAAGGTAGAACTGTTGAATCCTGACAAGACAGAAGTACTGTTTTTGGGGGACAGGGGGCGGGCAGGTGTGGGGGACTCCCTGGTTCTGAATGGGGTAACTGTGCCCCTGAAGGACTAGGTATGCAGCCTGGGAGTCATTTTGGACTCACAGCTGTCCATGGAGGTGCAGGTCAATTCTGTTTCTAGGGCAGCTGTCTACCAGCTCCATTTGGTACTCAGGCTGAGACCCTACCTGCCCACGGACTGCCTCGCCAGAGTGGTGCATGCTCTAGTTATCTCCGGCTTGGACTACTGCAATGCGCTCTATGTGAGGCTACCTTTAAAGGTGACCCAGAAACTGCAATTAATCCAGAATGCGGCAGCTAGACTGGTGGCTGGGAGTGGCCGCCGGGACCACATAACACCTGTCTTGAGAGATCTGCATTGCCTCCCAGTACGTTTCCGAGCACAATTCAAAGTGTTGGTGCTGACCTTTAAAGCCCTAAACAGCCTTGGTCCTGTATACTTGAAGGAGCATCTCCACCCCCATCGTTCAGCCCGGACACTGAGATCCAGTGCTGAGGGCCTTCTGGCAGTTCCCTTGCTGCGAGAAGCCAAGTTACAAGGAACCACACAGAGGGCCTTCTTGGTAGTGGCACCCACCCTGTGGAATGCCCTCCCAACAGATGTCAAGGAAATAAGCAGCTATCCTATTTTTAAAAGACATTTGAAAGCAGCCCTGTTTAGGGAAGTTTTTAATATTTAATGCTGTATTATTAATATTTAATGCTCAATTGGGAGCCGCCAGGAATGGCTGGGGAAACTCAGCCAGATGGGTGGGGTATAAATAAATTATTATTATTATTAGTAGTAGTAGTAGTAGTAGTAATAATAATAATAATAATAGTATTATTATTATTATTATTATTATTATTATTATTTATTGACAATGATTTTCCCCTTGTATTTGAAGAGTCTGAATGCAGCAGGTCATGACCTAAATCGAATGCATGCTGGTAGAACTTTCTGGCTTTCTGACAAAAGACAAATTCACCCCAGTAGCAACTGGGCAGCAAGTGTGGAAGAAAATGTGAATGGTAATAACTACAAAGGAGGTCACTAAGACTTTTTGACTCCTGGCATGCTTTGGTAGGTATATAGACCATGCCACTTTAGCATTCCTCTCACAAAGGGGCTGCCTTTGAACAAGCCGAAATGGACAGCTTTTTTTCCTGCCTCTGTGCGAGTTCAGAGTCCGAGACCTGGCACTCATGTCATTAGTGCATGACCAAAGGGGGAGAAGTGACACTTTAGGAGCACACTAGCTTTTTTGCTCCCCCCCCCTTTTGTCTCCTAGACAGTCCAGTGTTCTTGGTTATCATGGAAAAAAAATACAATAAAGGTGTCGCTGGGGCCCAAGGATGAAACTGGCATTGCAAAACTGCAATGGTGCAGAACTAATCTGCGTCCAGACCCTTCCTGTGTGATAAGCCCCCACCAAGTAACCTAATCTGGGATGGGAAATCCCCCCCCTCCCCAAAGTTACCCAGCATTTATTGATGACCTGGATTTTTTCACAGCCATTTGAAGGTTTCCACTGGGACCTTTCTGGTCATTTGATGTGGCAATTAGCAAGGGGACTTTTGTGCTCTTGGAGACAAGACAGTCTCTTTCAATAATTATGTTTATGCCTTGAACAAAAACAAAGTGAGACCTGCAAACATCAGATCACTTGGGCTGGTTGTCCTTTATTATGTTTTAAGCAAGCAAAGTGTGACTTTTCCCATGAGAAAACGAAAGGTGCAATTCACCACCCCTCGAAATCCATGCGTAAAACAACCGTTGGATTTAATGGATTTTAATATTCCTTTCAACTCTCTTTGATTCTATCCCCCAATGTGGGTTCTTAATATATACCCCCCCCCCCATTATGTGATCTTATGGTGTGTTCTCTTTAAACTAAAACAATTAGCATTGCGGAACATTAGCAATTATGGGTTGAAAATGCCCAGCAGTAATTGACAATTGCTCTTCTTCTGACATCAAAGCAAGGGCAGAAATATAAATAACGCTGCATTGGGAATCAGCACCATGCTGAAAGTTGGTATGTAGAACAGGCTTGCTGAATGACACATGTTTCTGAATTCATTGATACTGTTCTTTAGGGTGATCAATCCACTTGATAAAAATGCAACAAGGCATTCAGTGATATTTCAGCGTCCACAATCTCGAAACAACTTCAAATACCCTCAGAAGAAAAGTAACAATGGAATATAACTGACCAAGTCACAAGGGAGAAATAGCTTGTTAGTTTTAATACTGACAATTGTGAATGACTTTTCTCTTGCTGTTGTTTTATCATCATCATCATCATCATCATAACTACTAATTTCTTGCCCACTCTTCACCATAGGGTCACAAGGCAGGTTACAGCAATTTTAAAATGCCATATTAAAACAGTTAAAAGCAAATGACAGTCACAAAAAATAATGATTACATTTTATTTTCTTCCCGTGACGGAGTGAGCTCCTGTTGCTCGGTCCCTGCTCCTGCCAACCTAGCAGTTTGAAAGCACATCAAAGTGCAAGTAGATAAATAGGTACCGCTCTGGTGGGAAGGTAAATGGCATTTCCGTGTGCTGCTCTGGTTTCAGTGTTCCATTGTGCCAGAAGCGGCTTAGTCATGCTGGCCACATGACCCGGAAAAACTGTCTGCAGACAAACGCTGGCTCCCTCAACCAGTAAAATGAGATGAGCGCCGCAACCCCAGAGTCGTCTGTGACTGGACTTAACTATCAGGGGTCCTTTTCCTTTTTATTCTATTCTGACAACATGTAGTGTAGGCAGAATTCTGCTCATATGATTTTAAGATATGTATATTTTACCTTTTGTGTGAGGCAGAAGATCTGATGTCACGTGGGAAAAGAATATTGTTCCCTAGAATACACAACAGGCAGGTATTTCTTTTGTATTCCAAGTCTTAACTGACTGTCATTTTTGGAGTCATCACTCCAGATTTCCCCCCTCCCCCATGTGAAGAATCTAATATTTAAGCTACCTCCTGGTTATTATCCTTGGAAAGGCCTGATCACATGATCCTCCCACCATTCCCTGTTGAATAGCTATTAGAGGCCACTGTACTTTCTAGCAAGTGGAAGTTTTGTCCTCATATGGTTATTTCTTGCATTGTTGTGTCAAGCATCAAAGCAGCAGCATTAGAGAATATTCTCTCTTGAGCAGGAAAATGGTTGCTTTTATTTTTGTTTATTTAACGTAATTTGTATACCTCTCAATTGCAGAAGCCTCCAAGCAGTTCACATAAAAGATAAAACATACACCAAGACTATCAATAGAAACCAAAACATCTTGACCCTGAAAATTCAAAATATAAATAAAACCAGCAGTTTAAAATATGCATTATTTAAAATAAAATCACATATTTTATCACACACACCTATTTACACACTGGGGTAAGCTTGTCTAAACAAAAATATTTTAGCAGGCACTAAAAACAATACGGTGAAGGCCCTGCCAAATGTCAAGAGGCAGGGAGTTCCAGAGGGAAACTGCTGCAACATTGAAAAATGGATTCCTTACAGGTGTTGGATGAATATTGTGTGGCACCTGTAGAAGTGGTTGGGGTGTTTGAGTGGGTCAAAGCAGCAGCGTTAGAAAATATTCTCCATTAAGCAGGAAAACTATTTCACAGGGATCCCTTTCCTAACATTGCTTCACCTTGAGTGGCACTTCAGGACAACTGGTACAGAAAGCCAGCCTCAAATGTGCTTGAGGGTGGATATCACATTTTAAGTGTGGTAATTATTGTAATTTCAATAATGATTTCTTGAACATTTATCAAAATCAATTTTGAACGTCCACCCCCTTTGCCATTCATGATGTGTATGTAACTCTCATTATGTGTACTGTTTCTCTCATTTGCCATTTGGAATTCATTTTCAATACCAACAGGAATATTTACATGTGTAAATATTTGCAAATACATGTAAATACATTTGTAAATATTCCTGTTGTCAAAGGTATTGGCTAGAATGCTCTGGAATGCAGAGAGAAAAGGATCTTGAACATAGGGGTGCCAATTTTGCTGCCATGTCTGAATACTCATAGAAATGTTTTTCAATATATATTCAGCTGTAGTGCGAATTCTTTGTGGATGGTGTGTGTGTGTGAAAGAGTTTGTGTGTGCCTTCCGATGGGGACTTAATATTACAACTGTTAGCATCATCGTTATTTTTGGATATAATTGGATTTTTCCTAGAAAGGGTGTATCTACATTAAAGAAGCAAAAAATCCAGGGTGGTATTTTGATGACAATAATGTTACATGGACTCTCGGGTGTATGTGTGTGATGACAACACCCTTCCATGCATGAGTACCAATCCCACAATAAACATCCGCCTAGAAAGAGAGGAAGATGAGAAAGAAAGAGAAACAATGAGGAACGGGCCGAGGGAGGCAGGAGATTAAATAGCAGTCTGTTCCAAAAATAGGAGATTATTCACAAAAGCACAGGAAATCGTACCATGATCGTGCAGTGACTAATCATACAGGCACATCTGGATTTTTTTAAAGCAAATGACCAACACAGCCTTTAGATGAAATAGGGGTAGCCGCAAATATGGAGTTTCCTGAAATACTGAACAGAATTTAGGACTGTTACATCCTGATCTTAATCACCTTTCTGCCCCCAAGTTATTTTCATTTCTGTTCGTTTCCAAGAAACTGACAAACTGATCGGCAGGAACATCTTTTGTAGCAAATTATTTTTGAATAGATTTTCTTTCGTGGGACCCATGGAGGATGTAGCTCTTGAATCCTTCCTTATAGGGATGCGTAACCAGGGACCCTCCAGATCTTGCTGGCCTGCAGCTCGCATCATCCCTAATAATTGGCCATGCTGCCTGGGACTGATGGGAGCAGGAGCAGCCAAAGGTTGTTTTAGTAGGTTTGTGGGAAAGAGCATTTTGGCAGGCTCTTCTAGTCAGGCAGAGGTGAGAAAAGCACAAAGTGCCAAGACGACTTCTTTTCTTTAACAAAGTAATGGACTGGAACCCTGTTTTCCTTTGCGTGATCTTCTCGTCCTATAAGAGGGAGAGAGAACCTGTGTCCCTCCACATGGTTTTGGACTCCAGATTCCATCATCTCTGACTATTGGTCCTGCTGGCCTGGACTGATGGGAGCCAGAGTGCAACAACATTGAGAGGACCTTAGGTTCCCTGTTCCCGTCCTAGAAGATAGTTTCTAATGGATTTTGCCTAAAATATCACTGAAAGGAGGACAATAAGTAAGGAATGCGCTGCAGCCCTATCAATTCGTGTATAAGAGTGCAAAAGGAACTTGAGGCAGGGCTTTTTTTTCTCCTTGCTTGACTCTTGGTTGGTCTCCCTGTGGATGTTAGCTGGTGTGTAGCCCAGCACCACTGAAATCAATGGGATTTTGCTATTGCCTTTCACTGGAAGTAGATGCTTCTTTGGTTTGCTTGCTTGCTTGTTTATTTACTGCACCCCCCCCCCGGTTTATGGGGTATTAGGGGAGGGGGACACGCCGTACTCCTTCTGGGGCAGTTTGGTTCCCACCCTGCACACAGCTCTCACCTGTGGCTCCTAGAAGATGTCAGCATGCATCAGCGGTCCCACCTTAGGAATGGCAAGGGTAGCTGATGGGTCTCAAACCTCAATGAGTTAGGGACTTCCCCTGCATGCGAATCAATGACAGCAGGCAGTTAAAGGCTGAAGATGATGTTGATTTCAATATCATTTATTTTATCAAGTAATTCCTATAAAATCTGAGCTTACCATGAATAGGGAAATAGGTGGTCAGATGGCTTAGGATAATGACATGTCTGTGCAACTTCTTGGGTGATCAATAAAGGAGTCTGAATTCATGGTTTCACAAAAGGTTGCCCCCCCCAAAAAAACCACCCAACCTTCCACAAACCCAACCCATCTCCATATGCCAGCAGGGGAGGAAGGTTTCACTGACAAGCACTGAAGTAATTGCCTTTGTAGCTTTCCTGTAAGATGCCAATTTGCCATCTCATTATCAGTTTGATGGATGGCACCAGTGTCTTAAAATTTCTGTCAAACATTATGACGGTCAGATTGTCACCTCTTGGCTAAATACAGGTTGCCTTAAAAAGAAACTCTGATATGCATGACAAAATGTTCTCTTTGACAAGACGCCATTGACAAGGGCTGAAAGAAAAGTACAGTTTCTGCAAAAGCCATTGAGAACAGGGCTTTGAGGGTTGTTTTTTTGTTCCCCTTCCCAAGCTTGAGTACGGCACAAAGCACTGTTTACAGAGGTGGCTGTTTTTCTGTAGCTGAATCCATGTATTTAAAGGTTGTAAAGCCCAACAGGATGACAGGTGCTATCTAAAAACAAGAGATTATACTCAGCTAATATTGGCAGATGTCATTTTAAAGGGTTTTTAACAGCCAGTTCTTAGTGAACAAGGTGATAGCTGCTCCACAGAGTAGGATAGAGATGTGTGTCAAATGCCACTGCTCCATAAAACAAACTCCACAAAGAGTCTCACACCTTCTCTGTTATTCATTTTTGACCTGGCAGCTCTGATTGGCCATGCCTGGGAAGCATGTGGGACCTGACTTGCTGTACAAATGCAGCTTACTGTACAAATTTAAGAATCACACCTGTTGCTTCACTCACTTTTGTCTCTGAGCTCACTCACCACTGGCATGAAGAGCCTAGAGGCTGCCCATGAGGAAATATGGCACGTGAGCTGAAAAAGATTTCCCATCCTTGGACTTGTTTATTGCTGCACAAAATTATAGCATCATAGCGTTGGAGAGATCTTGTAGGCTGCCTAGCCCGATCCCTTGCTTGCTGGCTGCAGGGAATCCAGAGCTTGAGCATCCTTAGCAGATGACAGACTGGGCAACCTCAACTCAAAGGCGTTCAGTCAGGGAAAACCTACCTCCTCTCCCAAGTCACTGGTTCCCTTGACAAATTTGCATATTAGCTTTATGTTATACATTGCCTTGGACTTAGATAAGATGCACTGTATAAAATATTGCAAGCAAGCAAGCAAGCAACCAACCAACCAACCAAACAAACAAACAAACATACTCCATGTAGGCTTAAGGCCTAAAATCCAGGCAAATTGTCCTCCATTAAGAAGAGCCTGCTGGACAAGACCAATGGCCCATCTAGTCCAGCATCCTGTTCTCACATTGGCCAAGCAGCAATTGCAGGCCTCAGAACACACTGTGGAAGGTACAGTGTACAGAACAATTCCTGCCACTCCCTACAGGAGGAAGAGATGTGTGGTGGTGGTAGGTGACTCCCTGCTGAGTGGGACAGAAGCAGCAGTGTGTGGAGGTTACAGGATGTCCTGGGAGATGTGCTGTCTTCCAAGCTCACTGACCACAATTCTTTCTTTCTGATTCATGTAGGTACAAATGATACTGCCAGAAACAGCCATCAATGTTTAGCAAGGGACTATGAGACTCAGGGTGGGAAGTTGAAGGGCACTAGGGTACAGGTGTCCCCCCCCCCCATCACTGTTGAAGGTCATGGCCCAGGAAGAGAGAGGATAATTCTGTCGTGGAAGATGGAAAAAAATGAAAAACACTTGTTCTCTCCTATTCTGGAGGCTAGGATTCAAGTTACAAGAAGGAAATTCCAACTAGTCAGGAGGAACTTTCTGACAGTAAGAGCTGTTCAACAGTGGAACAGACTCCCACAAGAGGTGGTGGACTCTCCTTCCTTGGAGGTTTGCAAGCAGAGGTTGGATGGCCATCTGCCATGGATGGATGGACTATTTAATTATTGGGGAACCTTCTAACTCTACAATTCTATGATTATATGTTTTAAAACTGAATTTATCAAATTCGTGCTATGTGAACCAAAGCACTTATCTCAACTTATCCAAATTTCATGATGCAGTTCCTCAACCAGTGTTTACAAATAGTAAAGGAAAATGTGCACAGACACACCCATATATATTAGGAGACATTTGCACATATATTCTGAAGAATCTTCATGAGAATTATGTATTTAAAACATCATTGAAGAAATATGGTGAACTGTATTTAAAACTGGAGAAATTAGAGAACTGAAACTGACGTATCCTTCCATTCCTAGGGGACAGAAGCAGGCTTTAAATATATGTGTGTGGTGGGGAATATAAAATGTGAAACAGCCCCTAAGAAAGAAAAAAAGTGATGCAGCACACAGAGTGCAGGAAACAAAAAACGGACAAAATAGCAAGTTGAATCTTACATCCCCAATTGTTACAAACACAGAGACACGAGGAATCTGCCACTTCATAATTGATGCCCCTTCTCCAAAGAACTGAGTGCCCCCCCCCAGCATTGGAAAAGGGTCTTCTTTTTCTTTTTCTTTTGTTTGTTGGCTATGCCAGAGTAGCACTGTTATTCTCCCATGGAGTTTGAATGAGTCAAGCATCTTGTTAGACAAGACTGATGACAAGGCAGAGGCTGACTGAGCAGTGACTTGGGTTGATCATTACAAAAGGAAGGAATCTGCTGATCTGTTAGGGAAATAGAAGACGCATCTTCTCCCGTGAGCTCTTTTTGGGGGGACAAGGGAAGTACAGCCTTTGTTCGGCGCCTTTCATCTACATGAAAACAGGCCTTGCTGATAACATTTTGTTTGTATCATGAAAGGGGCTAGAACGGTGATTGACAGGGGCTACGGTGCAGATGTTTCCTTGAATGGTGGGTGCAAAGCTTATATCCTGAAAGATGATGTTAGGGGCAAAAGACATCGAGAATGAAATGTTCATAATGCTCTCCTGTGAAAATGGTGTCAGATCTTGTTCCATAAGCACAGTATTCAGTCACTTTTCATTGGCTGGAATGGTGAAGTCAATATAGGCCCCAAACAACCAAGGTAGGTGTTTGCATAGGGTGGAAAGATAAAAAGGAGGATAGGGCTCTTGCACCTTTAATAGAAATTCCCTCTTCTCCATTACTGTTAAAGATGCAGAAGCCCTATCCTTTTTTGCATCTGGTCAACCTTTATTTAAAAAGTCTCGAACCAATTATGATGCATATATTTCTCATTTATTAGAATCCATTATTCAACTGTTGAAGAACACAGTTACACATTCTCTTCTGGTTTTATGCATTTTCTTGTGGTTGTAAGCTCTCTCTGTCCGCAAAAATTGCAACGCTGTAACTGCAGGGGGAAATCGTTTTGGTTTTCCTTTCTTTCCTCCTCATCTTTTCAGTTAATGCCCTAGAAAATGAAGAAAAGCAGGTCGGTTATGCTGCAATCACATTCACTGTGGCGATTTCTTTCTAGTTGTCACATGAATCCATTCTTCTGGGCTCTGACACACTAGGGCAGGAGGTTTCTGAAGCAGGTTCATGATTTAATGGACAGCAGCTGCAGCTGGAAGGATTTTGACTCTCCTTCTGGTGGCATGCACCCAGGGAGAGGTTCCAAAGTTGTTTTATATCGCATTACATAGCAACAAAATACACAAGGGCCCTGCACTTCTCTCGCCGACTTGGACAGTTGAGAGGCAATAAGAATTAGAATTAATAACAAGGAACTAACAACTAACAAGGAATGACAACACCGTGCGCTGCGGCGATGCCTTTAAACCGTGGCGCAAATTTAATTTGAAGTGCACAAATGATTTATTTCATAATGCAATCAAATGGGTCAGAGGCCTTATGGCTCTCCAGAGAGGCTTTATATGGGAAGCAATGCAGCTTCTCTAACACTGCTAGATTAGGTTGTTAAAAACTTGAATTGTTATTCCTTATCAGATTCCATTCATCAGCATCCATATTTAACCCCAGCAGTCACTCCCCCAATGCAGTGGCTCTCAAACATTTTTCTCTGGGCCACACATTCAGAATAAAAATTTGCTCGCACCACATTTTTTTAATTGATAAGAAATACCTTGGAAAACCCCCTTCATGGATCACTGCCTTGCCATGGCAAAGGGGCTTGAATAACTCAGAGAAGCTATGAACTATGCCAAGCAGGGCACCCAAGATGAACAGGTCATAGTGGAGAGTTTTGACCAAACGTGATCCACTTGGAGGAGGAACCGGCAAGCCACTCCAGTATCCCTGCCAAGAAGACCCCATGGACAAAGACAACAGGCATATAAAAGTTATGACGCTGGAAGATGAGCCCCTCAGGTCGGAAGGTGTCCAACATGCTACTGGGGAAGAGCGGAGGACAAGTACAAGTAGATCCAGAGCTGATGAAGCGGTTGGGCCAAAGCCGAAAGGACGCTCAGTTGCGGATATGCATGGAAGCGAAAGGAAAGTCCAATGCTGTAAAGAAAAATATTGCATAGGAACCTGGAATGTAAGAACCATGAACCTGGGTAAGTTGGATGTGGTCAAAAATGAGATGGCAAGAATAAATATTGACATCCTGGGCATCAGTGTACTAAAATGGACGGGAATGGGTGAATTCAATTCGGATGACTATCATATCTACTACTGTGGGCAAGAAACCCGTAAAAGAAATGGAGTGGCCTTCATAGTCAACAAAAGAGTGGCGAAAGCTGAACTGGGATACAATCTCAAAAATGATAGAATGATCTCGATACGAATCCAAGGCAGACCTTTTAACTTCACAGTAATCCAAGTTTATGCACCAACTACTGGTGCTGAAGAAGCTCAAATTGACCAATTCTATGAAGACTTACAAGACCTTATAGAAGTGACACCAAAGAAGGATGTTCTTCTCATTATAGGGGATTGGAATGCTAAAGTAGGGAATCAAGAGATAAAAGGAACAACTGGCAAGCTTGGCCTTGGAGATCAAAACGAAGCAGGGCAAAGGCTAATAGAGTTCTGTCAAGAGAACAAGCTGGTCATCACAAACACGCTTTCCCAACAACACAAGAGACGACTCTACACATGGACATCACCAGATGGGCAACATCGAAATCAGATTGATTATATTCTCTGCAGCCAAAGATGGAGAAGCTCTATACAGTCAGCAAAAACAAGACCTGGAGCTGACTGTGGCTCAGATCATCAGCTTCTTATAGCAAAATTCAAGCTTAAACTGAAGAAAGTAGGAAAAACCACTGGGCTGGTAAGATACAATCTAAACCAAATCCCTTATGAATACACAGTGGAAGTGAGGAACAGGTTTAAGGATTTAGATTTGCTGGACAGAATGCCTGAAGAACTATGGGTGGAGGCTCACAACATTATACAGGAGGCAGCAACTAAAACCATCCCAATGAAAAAGAAATGCAAGAAAGCAAAGTGGCTGTCCAACGAGGCCTTACAAATAGCGGGGGAGAGAAGGCAAGCAAAATGCGAGGGAGATAGTGAAAGATACAGGAAATTGAATGCAGATTTCCAAAGAATAGCAAGGAGAGACAAGAAGGCCTTCTTAAACGAGCAATGCAAAGAAATAGAGGAAAACAACAGAATGGGAAGAACTAGAGATCTGTTCAAGAAAATCGGAAATATGAAAGGAACATTTCGCACAAAGATTACCATAATAAAGGACAAAAGTGGTAAGGACCTAACAGAAGCAGAAGACATCAAGAAGAGGTGGCAAGAATACACAGAGGAATTATACCAGAAAGATATGGATGTCTCGTACACCCCAGGTAGTGTGGTTGCTGACCTTGAGCCAGACATCCTAGAGAGTGAAGTCAAATGGGCCTTAGAAAGCACTGCAAATAACAAGGCCAGTGGAAGTGATGGTATTCCAGCTGAACTATTTAAAATTTTAAAAGACGATGCTGTTAAGGTGCTACACTCAATATGCCAGCAAGTTTGGAAAACTCAGCAGTGGCCAGAGGATTGGAGATCAGTCTACATCCCAATCCCAAAGAAGGGCAGTGCCAAAGAATGCTCCAACTACCGCACAATTGCACTCATTTCACACGCTAGCAAGGTTATGCTTAAAATTCTACAAGGAAGGCTCAATCTGTATGTGGACTGAGAACTCCCAGAAGTGCAAGCTGGATTTAGAAGAGGCAGAGGAACCAGAGACCAAATTGCAAACATGCGCTGGATTATGGAGAAAGCTAGAGAGTTCCAGAAAGACATCTACTTCTGCTTCATTGACTATGTAAAAGCCTTTGACTGTGTCAACCACAGCAAACTATGGCAAGTTCTTAAAGAAATGGGAGTGCCTGAGCACCTCATCTGTCTCCTGAGAAATCTCTATGTGGGACAAGAAGCTACAGTTAGAACTGGATATGGAACAACTGATTGGTTCAAAATTGGGAAAGGAGTACGACAAGGCTGTATATTGTCTCCTGCTTATTTAACTTATATGCAGAATTCATCATGCAAAAGGCTGGGCTGGATGAATCCCAAGCCGGAATTAAGATTGCCAGAAGAAATATCAACAACCTCAGATATGCAGATGACACAACCTTGATGGCAGAAAGTGAGGAGGAATTAAAGAACCTTTTATTGAGGGTGAAAGAGGAGAGCGCAAAATATGGTCTGAAGCTCAACATCAAAAAAAACGAAGATCATGGCCACTGGTCCCATCACCTCCTGGCAAATAGAAGGGGAAGAAATGGAGGCAGTGAGAGATTTTACTTTCTTGGGCACCATGATCACTGCAGATGGTGACAGCAGTCACGAAATTAAAAGACGCCTGCTTCTTGGGAGAAAAGCAATGACAAACCTAGACAGCATCTTAAAAAGTAGAGACATCACCTTGCCAACAAAGGTCCGTATGGTTAAAGCTATGGTTTTCCCAGTAGTAATGTATGGAAGTGAGAGCTGGACCATGAAGAAGGCTGACCGCCGAAGAATTGATGCTTTTGAATTATGGTGCTGGAGGAGACTCTTGAGAGTCCCATGGACTGCAAGATGATCAAACGTATCCATTCTTAAGGAAATCAGCCCTGAGTGCTCACTGGAAGGACAGATCGTGAAGCTGAGGCTCCAATACTTTGGCCACCTCATGAGAAGAGAAGACTCCCTGGAAAAGACCCTGATGTTGGGAAAGATGGAGGGCACAAGGAGAAGGGGATGACAGAGGATGAGATGGTTGGATGGTGTTCTCGAAGCTACCAGCATGATTTTGATCAAACTGCGGGAGGCAGTGGAGGACAGAAGTGCCTGGCGTGCTCTGGTCCATGGGTTCATGAAGAGTCGGACACGACTAAACGACTAAACAACAACAACCTTGGAAAACAAAAAAGAAACAACTCCAAGCAGGGCTTGATTTATAACATCAAGCACAGCTACTTTATTTTATGATCATGGGACATCCAGAAAGTAAAAAACAATGCAGCTCTATATTCCCAAAATATAATTATAAACGAGTCTTCTCCCATACCGTGTTCAAACAGCGATTCTGGATCTCAGCTAGGATTGTCCTCAGGATCACTTGATGCCCTTGGTCTCACTTTGAAAAGATATCAATCCGTATTGTGCCAATATTTTTTAAAAATAATACTATACAGTGGTACCTCAGGTTAAGTACTTAATTCGTTCCGGAGGTCCGTTCTTAACCTGAAACTGTTCTTAACCTGAAGCACCACCTTAGCTAATGGGGCCTCCTGCTGCTGCTGCGCCGCCGGAGCATGATTTCTGTTCTCATCCTGAAGCAAAGTACTTAACCTGAAGCATTATTTCTGGGTTAGCAGAGTCTGTAACCTGAAGCTATGTAACCTGAAGCATATGTAACCTGAGGTACCACTGTACTATATTATACTATACTACACTACAGTGAAATGTTTAAATGTATTTTGGATTGTTCTTGAATCTTCTTGCCACATTTACCATCCTTTCCTTCCACACCCTTTGAGAACCACAAGGATTCCCTGCCCAGCTGATGACCACTGCTTTGATAGCTGTGTCCTTGGCAGCAGATTTTGGGAAGGGAATTGGCATCTGGCAGCATCCCAGCTTTCCGCACATCTAGAAAATCATTAGCACAGATCCTGCGGTTCATGGGCAGTGCAATCATAGGCCTGCTAATCTCTTAGCAAGGTTGGAGCAGTTGCTTTATGGTGCCCGGACTGACTGCCTAGGAATTTAACTGGGTCGGTGCCAAACCCCACTCAGATATGTCCCAAGGCAACTGGAGTAGAGTTAAGTTACAAGCAAGGGCCACAGGTGACAGATCACAAGATTGCCAGGTTCAATTTCTGGCATAACCAGTTAAAATGGATGAGTTTGCAGGGTGATATGAAAGATCACTGCCTGGGGCACTGTAGATCAGAAACTGAGAACCCCGAACACTCTAGATGTTGTTCTGTTGCTGCTGCGGAGAGGAGTGGCGGCAGCAAGACCATGGCGATGTTGCTGCCACCTCTCCCCCTCCAATCCAATATGCAGTAGTGACACAGCTGGAGGGAAGTCAGGTGAGTGGCACAGTCCCCCAATGCCATCCGCTAGGGCTTCTCAGTGGTATTGACACTGAGACATTTCTAGAAAGCAAGGCATGTGCTCTGGACTGCTGGTTGTGCTGACTGGGGCTGGTGGGTGTTGGAGTCCCTCAACATCTGGAGGGTCACAGATCCTGTCACTAGTGGGGAGAGCAGGGCAAATAGTCTGAGCAGCTTCCTGTGTTTGTAATCAATACAGCTGCAACTGCAACCCACAAAACGTCTGCAGCTCCATAAAATTATAGCCTCAACAGTGTATGTTCATGTTGTAGAATGGACTAGCTATGACAAAGATGAGGGTGGCTTTTCCTTCCCTTCCTATACATTTGTATGATGATGATGATGCTCAATTCTAGACTGGTGCTGCCAACATGTCTTGCTTGAAAATTCATGCCCTCTGCGATTCAGTTTTTCAGTTGAGGACATTTGTTAGAATCATGTGTCATGTTTTGCTTTTCACAATAGTAAGCTTCAACCTTCACTGTTGCAAGAAAATGAATCTTAGAAATATGTTGACGGGTTGTATGTGGCCACCAGATGGTGCTCCTGTGGCAAGAGAACTTCTCCCAGTAAATTGTCTGATTCCTCATATCTACAGTAGCCTGAGGATTATTTCAAGTTGATTGAAGTTGGGCTGAGCTTGGATATACAGTATAGTGGTTACTGACCTCCTCGTTGTCCACTCATATACAGGATCAGGTTCACAATGTAGTTTCACTTTTTACTGGGCCATTTCTGGACCACGTATTTCTGGTGATATGTTTAAATGTCAGTCTGCAGTGAAGTAAGACTTAGGTGTGCATTGAAGGAATTGCATGGACACTTCACTGAGTATCCACATTCAAACCACATTCAGTCTGATCAGGTGATGAACCAGACAATTTTTGCCACAAACAGAACTATGTAACAGCATAGGCAGGAGCAATTTTTGACCATATGGATTGACCCATGGACAAAGTCACACAACCAGACCTAAAATGAAAGTGACTTGGGACTTAGGGGCGACAGAATCTCAGGACCAGTTTATTCATTTCTACATACCACTCAACCAACTAAGATCTCTTGGTGGTTTACATAAACCAGGGGTAGCCAAATGCTTTCCTCCATATGTTGTAGACCACAGCCAGCATAGTCAACAGCCAGGGATGATGGAAGCTGTAGTCCCAAACATCATCTTTGATCATCCCTGATTTAAAATTGCCTTGCTGGGAAATGCAGAGATGGACATGAAAAAAGGAAGGTCCCTAGCTCAGTGGTGGAGCATCTACTCTTCAGTCCCCAGCATCTCCAGGTAGAACAGGCAATGCCCTCTCTGAAAGTCTGGAGAGATGTTGTCAGTCAAGGAAGACAACATGAACCAGATAGATGATGGTCAGACTCCATATAGGTCAGCTTTCTATGTAAATCAGAGGAAGCGTTTGGAGTTGGAAGGTGGTTGCAATAGAATCAGGGTGCTCTTGAGTATCTAATAGCCTAGCAGGGAAAGGACACGAAGGGAGATTAAAAGGTTTGGAGCTAATTGCTGCAACTATGATAAAGGTACCTTAATTGATGGGAAGATGGCCGTTTACAAGGGCATAGGCCTAACTATTATATTAAGAGAATAGGAAGTATTAAAGTGTAATTAAAGATTACAGAGGCTTCTGATATCTCAATTCAGCATATTAATCAACATTGTCCAAAATATACAATTTTGTATGTACACAGAATACCTGAACACTGGTTCACATGCTATGGAAATTATGTAATGTCACTGGAAATTATGTAAATAGTTTAGATTTATTTCATTGCATTAACATGGATTTAACACACAGACTCCCTGAGAGATTACAGTCTGATCGCTGAGTATACAATGGCATATTTATGCAACATTTCTAATTATTCATAATGATAGGCTCAGGGTGAGTGAGTAGTTCTGAAAATGCATGTTTTAGATTATATCATCCTTGAGTTACTTCCACTGCCTCCCCTTTACCCTCAGAATCTATGAAGGGGTGTACTGAGAGACACTTTGTAGGTTACTACAAAGTTATTATACTTGCTTATTATATCTTTTGTTTATAGCTTGGTAATGGTGCCCATTCTCCATAATGCTCTCTCCCCTGGTATTCATCACACACCCACAGCAGTGTGATTCTGAAGACATTTGTTTCCTCAGGCTTTCCCCAACTAGTTTACTAGCCCATTGTAGATATTGTGTATGTCTCGAATGTTGCTTATTGTTTGCTGTTGGTTTTACACACACACACACACACACACACACACACTAGCAGGGAGTACCCAGCATGACCAGAGATTTTTTTAGAAACCAAAAGGTATTGCATTTTTAAAAAATGCACAGTGTAATTTGTGAGTTTGGACCCAACATGCCAAAAATCAGGTGCCCAAATCACATTTTGATCCACCATCTTGATTCAAAATGGGGCCTGGTGTTGAAACATCCCACCTTGGGAATGCTCATGCTGAGTTTGACGATGATATCTTGAGTGACAGTCAAGCCTATGCCAAAAAAGGGTGAACTGAAGTTACAACAGTGTCATATTTCAGTCCACCATCTCGATTCAAAATGACTTCTGATCTCCAAACAGTGACAAAGAATTCCACCTTGGGAACCTGCATGTTGGGTTTGGTGATGCTATATCAAGAGATGGTTGAATCTATAGAGAACAGACAGACACATAGGGAAGCCACCTTCCAAAATATATTGTAGATACATTTGATTGAATTTGGGTTGTGATTTTATCATGTAAACTGCTTCAGGATCTTTGAATGGGAAGTGGTTCATAAATGATTTCAATAAAATAAATAGTAATAGTAAGAAATTCCACTTACGCTGTGTTCACCTAGAATCTATGTTTTATACCCAAAGCTTCAAGTAATGAAAATGGGTGGTTGGGTTGGTTTGCCACTAAAATGGTGAATTTAAGAACAGCTAATGTAATTTAGGGACGCGGGTGGCGCTGTGGGTTAAACCACAGAGCCTAGGGCTTGCCGATCAGAAGGTAGGCAGTTCAAATCCCCGCGATGGGGTGAGCTCCCGTTGCTCGGTCCCTGCTCCTGCCAACCTAGCAGTTCGAAAGCATGTCAAAGTGCAAGTAGATAAATAGGTACCGCTCCGGCGGGAAGGTAAACGGCATTTCCGTGCGCTGCTCTGGTTCGCCAGAAGTGGCTTAGTCATGCTGGCCACATGACCCGGAAGCTGTACGCTGGCTCTCTCGGCCAATAAAGCGAGATGAGCACCGCAACCCCAGAGTCGGTCATGACTGGACCTAATGGTCAGGGATCCCTTTACCCTTTACCTTTAATGTAATTCATGGCATTGTAAATTGGATTTATTTTATTATAGTCACATTCTATAGAATAGCATTTACTTTTTAAGAAAAAAACCAAGAGGTTTGTGTCCCATAAATGCTAAAATATTTATTATGGCATATCCTTTTGCAGACTATTGTCCGCATAATTGTTATTGTTGTTGATTAGATTTCTTCCCCACCCTTCACCATGAAGTACCAGGGCAGATTACATCCTTCATTGTCATCTGAATCCCACAGTTCACAGTTTCTTCTTCTACATCTATGCATAAATTTGCCAGCTAAGGATAACACTTCCTAAAAGAAAAGGTGCCAACTGTGATGATAGAACATAGACTTCATGGTTTGTAGCCATTGATTTGCCTTGATAAACCAACCCCCTGAGCAGCTTTTCATAAGACACGGGGGGGGGGGAGTAATTAGCAAAGATCACTTTCTCCTTCTTCCTCTGAGTCCATGATCAGAATGTACACTCAGGGGAAGTCTGGATCCAACCAGAATCTTTTGCAATATAAATGATTCAATGGGAGTCTGTTCTTAGTTTTATTTGCTACTGGGAATGACTGCTTCTCGTTTGCTATTCCAGAGAAAACCAATGTGTATCATATTCTCACTCTGTAAGACCAGAAAGGTGGCTATAGCAGGCTTTCTCTCATCCATTTTGAGTTCCACTGTTAACAGGAAATTTATCATAAATAAATACATACAGAATTAAGACAGCAATCCTATACTTACCTAGAGGCAGGCTGAAATGATGCAACATATGGGAGATTCCACCAGTGAAGAGGGAGTTCTACCTGCAGGAAGAACACTTAGCACTAGATAACAACCAGTACACAAACAGAAATAATACTGGCACAGATGTATCCCCAGTGGTGTTCTATCTACAGGGCTATGAGGGGAGGCAGGACTTCTCAAGGCATCTTGGGGTCAGCTATGAACTTTCCACTTAAAGCTTCATTGCTTCCCTGATATACCCACAAAAATAAGTGAGACCATGACTGCCTGTGCGACTCATGTAGGTAATTGCCTTCCATTGGCTGCAGTGGGACAGATGAGGAAGAATCTGCCCTTCCAACCTCCTGCCCCACTGGAAGTGAGCTGGCAGCACTATGGGTGCAGTGGTAGCACTACCAACGGATCTGTTGCCTACACCGTAAGTCAGTGGTGGCCAAACTCAGCCCTCCAGCTGTTTTGGGACTACAACTCCCATCATCCCTGGCTAACAGGACCAGTGGTCAGGGATGATGGGAAATGTAGTCCCAAAACAGCTGGAGGGCCGAGTTTGGCCATCACTGCCTAGGTGTAGGATTGCTATGCTCAGATGTGAGGTGAGGGCATCCCCTTTAAATCAATTAATTTGCCTAATGTAGACAGTGGATTAGGATGTGTGAATATTTTTGTTTCTTGGGATGGAATTCTTGATGTTTAAGCTGATTTACACTCCTTCTCTGCATTGTTCTCAAAGCAGCTCCTAAAGGGAGGTCACTGTGTTTCCTCCTGATTTCCCCCACCTATTTCCATCTTTTTTCATTGATGGTCTAATGATTAGACCAATAGTGCCTTTAGTGTCGCCAGGTGAATCTGTGATGGTACAGCTATTTTAGTTCAGTCCCTTGCAAATCTAAATTCAACGTTCTTCACCAATGGCAATTCTTTAGTGGACGTGTTTCAAAGTATGAGTGATTGCACACAACAAAGTTCTGTTGATGCAAAGGTTTTTAGAACCTTTGGTAAACAAGAAATATGCCCACATCAAAGAGACCGTGGAACTGCTTTCCTAAAAGCAATTGACAAAACAAAACAAAACAAAACAAAACCCAGGCATTTGACTAGGTCACTTGCTATCATATGTCAAGAAAGCTAAAGCATGGGTGATACTGGTACAACCTAAAGGTCTTCATTGGATGCTCACTTGGCTTCAGATTATTAGGGGAACAATAAATTATTTTACCTTGAATTCCAGATTGATGCAGGTAAATTAGAGAATGCATAAGGGCTTCCCCAGGCAATCTGTTTATACAGCATTCATCCTGATTTGCTTGCACAAAGCTTATGTTAGACAATGGTTAGACAATGTCTGGTCTTTATCATTCTGATTCATTTATGGGGCAATAATATGACAATGAGCATTCATCCTGATGTGCTTGTGTGGTGTTTACACATCTTCCTGTTAATCAGTCCTCCTGCTTTTCAGTGCTTTTCCCTGTCACTTTCCAAACAACAAACAGCTATTTATTTATTTATTTATTTATTTATTTTAAAATGGATTTGTTGTTTTCAGAGGAGGGTCTCAGGTTCACCCCACAGGCAAAACATGGGAGCTGCCTCTATAATATGGCCCCTTCCCACTATTCAGTCAGCTGCAGTTTCGCTGCTTGTTCTGTCAATGAAGGTTTTTCAGCTATAACAACTATTTTTTTCTCTTATTTTCTGTGAGCAAAGTGCTCGCACACTTCGGCTAATACACAAAAAGATTTGCATCCTGGTTTCCATCCTGTCTGACACAATGGTCTAGGAAGAGAGGTTTCCCCTTTACACCTCTCAAAAGTTATTTCCTTCTGCTAACAATGTGTTAAATATGGTCATATTGCACCTATGTGAAACCTGAGGAAGCCCAAGGCCCCAGCTGATTGGTTGCTTGCTCTCCTTCATCCGTGGTCTGACATTGTTTCTGTAATACAATGTAAAAATAGATAGTTTGGATCATGCTTTTCTGCAAAGTCTCTCCATTACCTGACACCTTTAATAAATGTAGTTTAAATCAGAAGCCTGGAGTTCTCTCTAGCCATAGGATCATTTCACTTACTCATTTTCCTAAACCACTTTTCCATGCTAGACAATTTTAAGGAGAGGTAAAGAAAAAGGTGCCTATTGGTCCCCTTATCTTGCCAGACCAGAAGTCTTCTTAAAATACTACTCTCAGGAAACCCTGTAGCTCTGAAGTGTCTCCAGCTTCAAGGCTGGATAGATTGTAAGAGGTAGGGGTGACTGATGACAGAAGCACCTCTTCCCTGAGAATGTACACTCACTTTACATTGTGGGTGCCCTTTGTGGGATGGCGTGTGGTGCTACAGTTCCCAGGGAGCTTACTGGCAAACAGGGGCTGGCTTACCTCTCAGTGTTAATTTTTGGAGGTTCACGCCCAGCCTCAGTAATCAAGTTTCTTGCTGGGAGGTGGGGCCAGCCCCATTTATAAATAGGGGGTGGAGCCGACAATAGCCAGGCAGTCGGCTCTGGAGATTCACCCTCCCTACCCTCCCTTTGTTTAATGTTTCTTGTTTGCAGGTTAACTTTTTCTTCTTGTTTAGCAGGCGCTGCTACGGTCTTTGACTGGTTGCTGTTGAAGAACCGGGAATAAATTTTCCTGCATTGGCAGGTTTTGTCTTCCCCGTAGCAATTCATCACAACTTTGGTGGTTATGGCCTTGGGTGGAATCCTTTAGTCTTTTCTTCCCTATATGGGGAGGGGGCGTGAAGTGGTGACTCACCCCCCTGTGGCAGCGATTCCAGGGTCCCCCTCTTAAAGGGGTTATATATATGGGTGTCACTGGCCATACACTAAAAGGTCGTCAGTGAACTACCCTGTGGATATGTGCTTGGCTGCCTGCTATACTTATGTCTCGCAGAGCACCCCCATATCCCATTTACCCTGATGAGCCCCAGTTCCCCCCAGCTGGGGGGGCTGGGATGGATACACGCCCAAGGCTTAAGCCAAAGTCTTCCTACATTCGGAAGTTTAATAAAGTTGTGGCCTAATTTTATTTCCATATAACATCAGAGTCTTTATTCCTTCCTTATGATCCCTGGGGGCTGGGGCTGTCGCCACCTGGTCACGCATTACATCCCTGCCCATCACAGCAGCCCTTTTTTCTATCATGATTGGATGATGGAATGGATGGGAGAAGCTACAAGGATCTTGTCTCACACTGCATGGAAATTTTTAAAGCCTGATCTCTGAGTTGTGACCTGGCAACTTTAGACAACACAAAAAGAATACAATGAAATCTTGTTTAGAAGTTCACAGGGCCTCAGCTCAGTTTGCAACTTCGCTTGTAGTTGCAAAACGCTTATTCCACCCTTCCCTTTAAGATTTGTTTTTTAAACTTACTATTCTTTCTAATAGCCACAGAGGGATAGGAAATCCCAGTGTGCACACAGTGCAATAATATGCATTGTTACACTGCCTTCAGTGGAGCTTATTCCCTTCTAAGTGAGTTTAGGACTGCAGCCATAAACAAGAGATCGAAACTAGCTGTGCACTGCTAGCAAAGCCACAGATGAGAAATTATACTGGGAGCTTTAAATAACGCCAAGTTGTGACAGGTTACGTCTAGGTTACATGATTCAAAATACTTTTTCTGTTCTGCCCTTTTGTTGGGACTCTTTGATTTAATAACACAGGCCTCTTTTTGATCTGGCCATACCTTGTCAGTCATTGACGTCCCACCCATAGACTTTTGATTTCTTTTTCATCTAGTGACACTGGCGGAGGACTCTGACAAAGGCCAAGGGAGGGATTTGGGAATTGTCACATAAAACCTGCGTTACTCAGCTTTCAATATCTCATTGAGACTCTCACAGCTTTGATATTTTAAGTAGGCATCGCACACAAAAAAGGAACCACAAATGCCCGGACAGGTAATGCAGTAGATGCGGACTGTTAATGGCTCAGGAAGACCTGTTGAAAGGAGAGCCCCTTCCCAGGAGTGCTATTTAATTTCATTGCAAGGGTTTCCCTGGCGAATTTCGCCTGCTGCCTCTTCTCCTGCTTGAGCTCCATTCTTTTCTTCTTGCTGAAGTTCCTTTGTTTCATTGAGAAAAACTTCATCTATAACTGCAATTTGAGGCCGGGCTTGTTTGTTTTTAGAGACTCTATTCATATGTGTCACTGAAGCATTCCAAAAAGATTTTTTAAAATAAAAATAAGTCCTACTTCTATTATTATTTATTAACTTTGTACATCACCCTTCATCCAAAGATCTCAGGGTGGGTCACAGCATAAAAATACAAAATAAAAACACAAAATATCCTGTTCTCTGCCACTGCCTCTCTCCTGTATGACTGTGACAAGTTGAATCCAAGATGAGGGAGAATGACATATTGTAATGCTCAACATTTGTTCCTTGATTGTAACAGTTCTCTTTGAATTTGCTGATCTCCAGATTGCAATACGAAACCTAGAATGTCCCAAGCAGGTACTTCATATATCATTCTGACATGGACTTTGGACCCTCCCAACTGGTGGTGTGTACACGCAGGTGTATGTTGCCGCATGCCATTGATGCCATGACATTCCATAAGTGGCGGATTCATACTGGACCACCCACACATCAACATTATGAGTTGTTCTGCGGCACTTCCCCAACATTACCGCAAGAAAAGCAGGACAAATAAAAACCTCAGGAACCTTTAAGGTATGATACAGGATTTCAGCAGGAAGCTACGGAACATGCATTAACTCAAAATGGAGTAGATGTTGCAGGACCCAACAATATTGAAAGTGGGATTGTGTCTAGCTGCCCAGATACTACCATGAGCACAAATTATTATGAATGCACAGTCCAAATGACATCTAGAGGGGAGTTGGTCTGGCAATATCTGAGACTTTGAGTGTTTCCAGATGGGTGTTTATTACAGGATCAGTGCTCCTCATGCATGCCTGTTTATCACAGCACCTACACAAGATTGTCGGCATCAAAGTGCTTGCTCATAATTTTCACCCACGTAATCCAGATTTACCATTTGTGGGGAGAAGCTGATGCTTTTTTTAGGAAAACGAAACTGTTGCCAATGACCCATTTGCAATAGCTGAACAACGTATTTTCAACATTAAGCCTGTGTCTGGAAGCCCCTCATATTTAATTCCTTCCTTCTGGGATAGGAGAGCAGTCTTTCTTTGCTGCCCTTCCTGCTGTCCATTGCCCTGAATGATTTTGTACTGGAACATTGTCTCTTTCCTTGTAAGGAATGGAAGTGGGTGGGAGGGAGGGAGGGAGGGAGGGGGTCTGGTAAATCACATCTACACTTCTAAAGAGCTTTTCCTGCCTCTGCCAAATAGTTTGGGGCAGTCAGCAGCTGCTACCCAGCTAAATACTCTAAAGGGGGAGGATTTGAATGAGTGGGTGAAGTGACTGGGGTGGTGAAGCTGGTGGAAATGGTTTCACATTGAGCATGTCATCACTTGATGTATGCAGCATCAAGGATTGGCATATTGGCTCACATCACCCCAAAGACAATGCTTTGCAGTGGTTCATTTCACACATTGAGCCGCCTGATATTGCCTGCTAAAGCATCAAGAGCTGAGGGTCTCTGCTTGTATTTGTGGAACCAGCCCTAAGCTGTGGCAGAAACTGCTCTGCTGGGATTGCAATGCGGCATCTCAATTCATCCGCACAAATGCTTGTCACTTTTTGGCTTTGCAACCTCTGCAGTGCAGATGACGCCAACTACAGAATGTGTGAAGAGCATAAAGACTAGAGCTTGATTGATGGATTGCAGAATGTCAGAAGAGATCCTTTGAAACTCTCTTGGAGTCCTAACATTATCTATAGTGAGCAAAACCCAGTGCGTGTGTGTGTGTGTTTGTTTGTTTGTTTGTGTGTGTGTTTCTACATGGACTCTTATTAATTGCACAAACCTCCTTTTACACATAAAACCAAGTTTGTTCAGTTAACTTTTGTTTTAATCTTGTAGAACTCTGCATAATAGACCATTTCCAGTTGTAACAAGAGACGTCAGCCATATAAAGATCTGAGCAATGTGAGACACAAGCTTATGACTATCTCCAAAACACCTGTCTAGCCTATGACTGACAAACAATCATGTCATCATTCATCTCTGAATTTGTCAGCTACATCCCCAGGGTCTGATATCCTAACGGCAACACAAAGTTCACATTTAGTTAAACATATTATATATAGTTCAATTAATTATCATACAATGCCATGTTGGGGGGGGGCATTTCCTTTCCCCCACTTCTATAGCATTTAGTTTTGGAGTTATTGGAAAATCCTCTCAGAGATTCCTCATTTTGAGAAACCATAGCTTTATTGTTATTGTAGACATCCATATACCAAAGAATTCTGAATGTTGTACATACAGGATGTTGTTTTATCCTGTCAGCAGCACTGACCCTGAGGAAAAGGTAAAGGTAAAGGCACCCCTAACCATTAGGTCTAGTCGTGACCGACTCTGGGGTTACGGCGCTCATCTCACTTTATTGGCTGAGGGAGCCGGCGTACAGCTTCCGGGTCATGTGGCCAGCATGACTAAGCCGCTTCTGGCGAACCAGAGCAGCGCACGGAAACGCTGTTTACCTTCCCGCCAGAGTCTATTGATCTACTTGCACTTTGATGTGCTTTTGAACTGCTAGGTTGGCAGGAGCAGGGACCGAGCAACGGGAGCTCACTCCGTCGCGGGGATTCGAACCACCGACCTTCTGATCGGCAAGTCCTAGGCTCTGTGGTTTAACCCACAGCGCCACCCACGTCCGACTCTGAGGTAGGTTAGTCTAAAAACTGGTAACCTAGCAAGGCCATCTAGTGAGCAGGATTTGACAAAATCTCCTAAATTAGCTACTTTACCTGTTATTTGGCACACAACAAGATGTCTCCAGATGTTGTGGATTGCAACTTCCATCATCCCTAACCATTGGCCACGCTGGCAGGAGCATTGGGAGTTGGAGTTCACAACAACTGGAGGGTGCCATGTTGGCTACCACTGTTTTAGATGGGTCTTTTCCAGACTCCACACATGTCCCAAATGTGCCTTAGGAATGTCCAGTTTGCTTTGCATAGCAGTAGCATGTAGGGTGGCTCCAAGAAGCCACTGTATATCATGTGGCTCCTCTCCTCTCCTCTGGGATCAGGAGATGCCCATGGCATCTACCTCAACTCCAAGGCCCCAGCTGATAATTCTCATTATTATTTTTATTCATCCTACTTTTCCTCTATGGAATTCAAAGTATATCCTGCGGGCTTATCTCAATTCCACAAACCACCAAAATGTCCCAAGAGCATTTCACCAGTGGCAGGAACACAGAAAGCTGCCTTACACTAAGTCAGACCATTGGGCTACCTCAGTATTGTCAACATTGCCTGGCAGGGATTCTCTAGTCTAGAGTCTTAGCCAAGAGTCTTTCCCAGCTGTACCTTGGAGACACCAGGGATTGAACTTGGGACATTTTACCAGCAAAACATGGCTAAGGCCATTTCCTTCTGACTTCAGAACATTCAAAATATGTTTGTAGCTATTCCTGAATTCAGGGGATCTAGATTCACAAATGTTTTTCTGCCATGGACCACTTGAAAATTTCTGAAAACGGCAGGCCACTTCATGACTTATCTGCCTGTTGTAGCAATGGTAAGGTGCTATTCCAAATGCAGTATGATTTTTAATTGTATTCTTATTGCTTCTTTTATTTCGTATGCTGTATTTTACTGTAATACAAAAAATAAAAGAAGCAATGAAAATACAATTAAAAATCAATGTTGTAACAGGTTTCAGGTGGGATCCTGACACCAGTGTTACACACACAGGAGTGCTGTACCAATATGAATTTTAATGCAGACAAGCCATGGGCACCTGAATGAAGCTCATGGAACACTGGTGGTCCATAGGCCACATTTTGGGAACCTAGAGGACACTTGGATGCAGATTATCAAAACATAGCAGCACATTCATAGGAAGAATGCAGTGATCCCAAATAATGTTTTGAGGATGTAGAAAATGTCCTAGTATGGGAGGAAGAGTATGGGAAGACCTGTCATAATTGCCATGTAATAAATGCAAGCACAATTTTGGCATGGAATCAAATGAGAAATCTGAAATTTAAATAGAGGCTATAACTATATTGATCTAGATGATTTCAAAAATATTGTTTATATACTTGTCTTTGATCCTCCCCCCCCTTTAATCCTAATTTTGCTTAACGTGGTGGTACAAGTAGACTTTAAAACCCATCTTATGTTTGGGTTATTCATCAACTTCAAACTCCATTAAAGTATGGACTAACAAAGTTAGTTTTTCTCCATTAGTTGCATAAACGGCTGAATCATGATTAGTTCTCTGCCATATTAGTCTCTGGTTTGTGAGAGAATGCTGCAGCCTTCAAAAATCAATTATCTTCAAAGCTCCAAAATGAAAAGGAATGAACAGGGGCCAGTCTCAAGAGCATCCTTTGCGTGCTGGAGTTAACATTAGTTAAGTACTTTAAATGATCACTAATTAGAGCCTTCAGCAGGCACTTTAAGGACCACCCGACTGAAACATCTTATTGTGAAAATAACTTACTGGATGAAATAGCCCAAATTAACTCTTTGATATGGAGTACCAAAATCCACATTTTTGTTTCTGCTTCTTGTGAGAATTTCTGCCTTATTTAAACCATTAATAATTTGGTTTACCTGTATGTTCTCTAAGCAACAGAGGCCTGCTAAGAAAGCATATATTTGAATAAAATTGAACTTTTTAAGTTTAAGTGAATTCACGTGTATTCTTTTTTGAATCATGCTTCATATCATCACAAATTTGTAAAAACAAGCAAACTCTCAAGAGTATTTTAAAAAGGATCTTACTATTTCCCTTTTCAAATTATTCATTTTATTTCTGCATTCGCAGCCAACGGTTTGATCACAGCTGACTTCCTTCGCCCTCAGTGGAGTTTATTTGTTATTTATTTTATTAGTTCAATTTATACCCTGCCATTTCTTCCTAGGGGGGGGGGTGCCCAGGGCAACATAAAATCAAATCAAAAACTATCCAACATGCATTAATTAAAACAACAGTCATAAAACCCCCATGCCTAACAAGCCTTTTACAAGGGTTTGCACAAAGGAAGACATCTTCAGATTCCTGCTGAATGTGGCCAGGGAAAGTGACAGGGCAGCCTGATTTCCCCCTGAAAGGAAGTTTGAGAGACAAGGTGCTACTAGGGAGAAAGAAGGATAAGGAGACATGGAAGATAAGGCTATCAATGGCTACTAGGCACAATGGTGATGTTCCACCTCCACTGTTGGAAGCAGTATACTTCTGCTGGGAATCTCTGCTGGGAAGCAGGGTGAGTGCTGTTGCACTTGGATCCTGCTTGTGGGCTCCTTGTGGGAATCAGATTGGCCATTGTGAGAACAGAGGGCCTCGCTAGGCAGGCCTTTGGTTTGATCCAACAGGCCAGGTTTTATGTTTTTAAGAAAGCCCCTATTGCACATTCCCAGTGATCTCACTGGGAGAATCCGTGGCCAGAAAGAAGAGGAATATCAAGAAGACTGGAAGAAATTTAAAGATTATTTGAGCAAATATTGTAATATTAAAGATCAGTAGTTACTTGAAGGTACTAAACAGGCCTAGGACTAAATTAAGACTAAATAAATAAATAAGACATAGAATGTTAAGAAAAATTAAGAAATTTGATTATAATTGGAATATTGTACTTTTGAATAATGATGTTGGAAAACTGCTACATTCAGTTACAAGGAAATTTAGATGGAAGAGATTAGAGGAAGTCAAGTAATATGTTTAAGAAGTTGGAAATTTAATTAATTAACTAATTTTTATTGTTTATGTGTTTTTGGTTATATTTTTGGTTATCATTTGCTATATTTTATTTCTTTTTTCTTTTTCTTTTCTTTTTGTTTCATTGATTTTATAGTATGTGTTGTATTTGTATGAAACTTAATAAATATTATTGGGGGGGGGGGAAGAAAGAAAGAAAAAGCCCTATTGCACATTCCCACACTCCTGGTCATCCTCAGCCATAGTACTATTGCAAGAAGCGCCTCTTCGTCCCAGGCTAGAGGGTGAGAAGCACGAAGAAAGGTGTTCCTTCATGTACTTGGGTCATTTGACTTTGAACACTAGTATCACCACATTCAACTGGACCTGGTAGCAGTGGCAGAGCTTCATGCTCCACCACTGGGGGCAGAGAGCAGGCGGGGGCATGGCTGGCACGCGTCCCAGGGGCAGGACGTGCGTCCCAGGGCTGTGGCATGTCCTGGGAGCGTGACGTGCTGCCTGCAGGGGTGTGGCGCCCAGCTCGGGGGGCAGCCGCGATGGCACCCCACCAGGATCATGGTGCCAGGGGCGTGCGCTCCCCCCTGCCCCTCTCTTCCTCTGCCAGTGCCTGGTAGCAGCCAGTGAAGGGCTTCTGAAACGGGAGCGATGTGCTCTTCTCTGGTAGCTACTCTCAACAGCCAAGTTGCCAGGCTCTGCGTCAGCTGCAACTTCCAAACCATTTTAAAGGACAGCTTCATGCAGAGGCCAATGCAGTAATCTGTACTGGAGGTCATAAGAGCATAGGTCACTGAAGTCAGACTATCTCACTCCAAGGAACGGTCATAGCTGGCCAACCCACCATCCCTAAGCATACCAAACCACCTGTGTGTTAGGTGCCATTTTTGCACCAAGGAGCATCCCCAGGCTATGAAACGGCTCCTTCAATGGAAGTGGCCACTGGTCCCATCACCTCCTGGCAAATAGAAGGGGAAGAAATGGAGGCAGTGAGAGATTTTACTTTCTTGGGCTCCATGATCACTGCAGATGGTGACAGCAGCCGCGAAATTAAAAGACGCCTGCTTCTTGGGAGAAAAGCAATGACAAACCTAGACAACATCTTAAAAAGCAGAGACATCACCTTGCCAACAAAGGTCCATATATGTAGTTAAAGCTATGGTTTTCCCAGTAGTGATGTATGGAAGTGAGAGCTGGACCATAAAGAAGGCTGATCGGCAAAGAATTGATGCTTTTGAATTATGGTGCTGGAGGAGACTCTTGAGAGTCCCATGGACTGCAAGAAGATCAAACCTATCCATTCTTAAGGAAGTCAGCCCTGAGTGCTCACTGGAAGGACAGATCGTGAAGCTGAGGCTCCAATACTTTGGCCACCTCATGAGAAGAGAAGACTCCCTGGAAAAGACCCTGATGTTGGGAAAGATGGAGGGCACAAGGAGAAGGGGATGACAGAGGATGAGATGGTTGGATGGTGTTCTCGAAGCTACCAGCATGAGTTTGACCAAACTGCGGGAAGCAGTGGAAGACAGGAGTGCCTGGCGTGCTCTGGTCCATGGGGTCACGAAGAGTCGGCCACGACTAAACAGCTAAACAACAAACAACAACAAACCCTGTCCACGACAAGTCAAGTGCCAAAGTTCTTTGTATACACATGTCCTGGGTATGCAGGATGCGATCAGAAAGGGATGCCATGTATCCTTCTTTCCAGTCTCCCCTTCCCAGATGGCCCTTGGTCCTGCACTCACCTCAGTGCACTGATGATTGCTTTCAACAAGAGATTTGCGCTTAGTTTTTACTTCCTACATACACACCACGCTCTGGAGCACAAATCACTAGCAGGGAAGAGGAGGATAGGTGGGTGCATATATATGCAGGAGTACAAATGGGATTTCCATGGATGTGTGGAGCCAGGAACTAGCAGGGAGGAAAACGGGCTGCAATGAAAACTATGTTGAGCATGCCCGCCCTTTTGAAAAGGACATCTGCTAATATTCCTAAAAGAATCCAATGAACATGGTACCAACATAAACCACCTTGTGTGCAGAAGTTATGGATGAAAAATGATGAGCAGCAGAAACATTTTGCAAACATCCACAGTCACCAGGTATGATGCCATTAATGACTTGCATTTCCAGAGTACCTTTGATTGATCATTTGAAGGGACCCTTCACATAAGGGTTGGGCCACATTTTCCAGAAAGATCATACCTCCCTATACGAACCTGCCTGGGTGCTAAGATCTTCAGGGAAGCTCCTTCTCTTGGTCCATTATTACATGAAAGAGGGCTTTTTCTGTCATCTGGGTAGATTACAAAATAAAAACATAACTAAATTGGATCAAGAGCATTTATTTATTTATTTGCAGAAAATTATGTACTGGGAACATTAAGAAAAAATATATAATGGTGGTGGTGCACAGCATAAAATAATAACATTTCATTCATAAAACAAGTACAAAATGCATCACAAATTAAATAGCTTGTATCAAACATCAAAATCAAGATAATGCAAAAATGAAAATGAAAAAATAAAATGAGAAACTAGCATATAGACAGATCAAAACCTGCATTTAAAGCCAGCACAGCAACAGCATAATGCCACAAATCTATGTGAAAATTGTGGTGAAAAAGATAAGTGAAAACAGAAGAGAACTTTATTTTTTTTAAAAAATTAGCAGTTCAAAATTGCTGTGCAAATAATGCAAGCTTCCCAGAGCCAGAAATTTATGCTGCAATCCTATACCCTTCTACCTGGGAGGAAGCACCACTGAAGTCAATGGGACACCACTGAGCAGACATGTCTAGGGCTGCACTGTTTATTTCAGTTTCTGTTTCAGCTAAAAACAAACCAGCAGCTCAGACATTTTCCTGTCAATCTGGGTTGGGTGGACTGCAATTTCATCTGGCGTATTTAGTGAACACAGTTGAGCAAGGGATTGTTTTCTTGATGATGTTATGAGTTGGGGGGAAGATCTCCCCATAATCCTTAAATTTAGTAAATGTTATAATTTAGCTAATATTTGCAGTATTAAGGGAAGATGCCAGGGGCTATAGCGATTTCCTGTTCAGGAGATCAACTGATAGAGGTGCCATTAAGAAACAAAGAGAGAGCAGAGTAATGGGCCATTGAACTGCATATGTGATCCACTGCAGTGTTATATTGACAAAACAAATTTAACATAGCAAGTGCTAATGCCATATGCTTGGTTTGGCTTTTCCTAGAGCAGGGATGGGGAACATCAGGTCCAGGGTTCAAATGTGGTGCGCCACACCTCTCTATCAGGCCCTCAGGACTCTTGCCAGGCCACATACCCTTCCAGCCCCACCCCACCCCACCTGCTGTGCAACCTCCTTGAGTGCTTTTGCCAGACTGGAATGTCTCTTAAGATCTGATAATGCTTCTTGCTTGCCCAGACAGAGACTACAGAGGGATGTGTGAGTGTGAAGAAACTTGCCTAGTGTCCAAAGGTAATGGTCACATTGATTGTTCTGTCTACTTTTGCCTCGGACCCTGCCCACCTCTGGCATGTGGCCCCTGGAAAGTTGCCCTGAAAAGAATGTGGCCCTCGAGCTGAATACCCTGGCAAGTAGACATCACCAATAGCAGATACACTATAGCCCTTGTAAAAGCGTGGGTTGACCTGCCAAAGTTATAGCACGGGTGTGTGGGGGATGTGAAACACAGAGCAGTCAAATACAACATTCCTAGAGAGGGATGTTTGTCCAGCCAGTAGATAAACTTCCTGTTTCTTCCTGGGCTGGGACAAACTTCCTCTACATATGACCAGAGGTGGGCGTGACCTTACCTGTGCAGGTAACAAAATAGCACAGGGCATTCTTGACTCCATTCCTCAAAGAAGCAACATCTCCTTAGCCTGAGATGCTCTTTTGGCTTCCATCTCTCTTGGCAGCCAAGAGAGGACAAAGGAACTATCTCCTTATGGGGTAGATTCCAAGTGTATATATTTTGTAACTTAAGTCTGCCTTCTGGGATCCATCTGTGGGCAGAATGTGTAAGTAAACTATTTTATATCTTTTATACAAGACTGTGCTGTATCTATTCTTTTTAGGAGGGAATAAAGGGGAATTACAAGGAAACGTATTTTAGAGGCTTAAGCAAGCCTGGCAACAACTTATCCGCTGTGGAAGTTTAAAAAGGGGAATGTTACTCTGCTAAATTATAGAATTTGCTAACACAAGTTGGGAAGGATATTATTATACAATATATCCTCTTCTGTCTCCCTGAACATTCCCACAAATTGATCTGTGCCATGTGTTCAACAAGGACTTCCATTTCCAAATCAACTACGTTGTACAGTATCTTTACCCATGTATATGTATAAAATGAATCTTCAGTGGTCATTAAAATGTATCCCTCCCACTCAAACACACTTTTGGAAGAACTGGGGGGGGGGAATTAAAGAAAATATTTTAAAGATGTTTTTATACTGGTGAGGGAAGGGAGCACTGTGGCCCTCCAGATGTTAGATTCTTAATTCCAACCACCAGAGCAGATGGTGAGGGATGCTAGGAGTTGTAGTCAAGCAACTTCTGGAGAACCGTATTTGGCAGGTGTGGAGTGTCCTGTTTCGCCACTTGAAGTAAAATGGCAAGGGCTGCCCCAATATGCTGTAGTGTGGCCACACTATGGTGTAGAGAGCCAGTGTGGTGTAGTGGTTAAGAGCGGTAGTTTCGTAATCTGGGGAACCGGGTTCGCGTCTCCGCTCCTCCACATGCAGCTGCTGGGTGACCTTGGGCTAGTCACACTTCTTTGAAGTCTCTCAGCCCCACTCACCTCACAGAGTGTTTGTTGTGGGGGAGGAAGGGAAAGGAGAATGTTAGCCGCTTTGAGACTCCTTAAAGGGAGTGAAAGGCAGGATATCAAATCCAAACAACTCTTCTTCTTCTTCTTCTTCTTCTTCTTCTTCTTCTTCTTCTTCTTCTTCTTCTTCTATGGTGTGTAGCCAGTGCCACATTGCCAGCTCCTCAGCATCCCTTACCTAGGTTGTGTAGTGGTGGCACAAAGCAGCAGCAGGTTCCAGTGAGATTTTGTGAGATCTCATGAGCATTCGGCGAGATCTCATGAGATCTCACTGGAAATTGACACCCAAGCCGGTGGTGGAGACAGCAGGACAGGCAGGGTGCCCATGGGGGTTTCACTTTGGGGGCTTCCGCTGCCAGAGCCAGCTGCCTCATGGATAGGCTGGTCTCATTGCTTGATGCAACCCAGTTCCACACGGGTCTCACCACAAGTTAACAACAGCTTCAAATTCCCTCTCAGTTACAGAAAGACTCAATATAAAGACCGTTATTCCACTTGACACATATGCATCAAGATTTTCTAATGTATTTGAGGTTCATTTTATTTTGTGGCAACCATAGGAAGCAGCTTAATCTAACAGCACAGAATGCCAGGCTAAAGTCCAGCCGCTGAACTTCATGGCGAAGCAGGCTTTTGACTCTGTGTAAACCCAACATTCTAGTGCCATTGCACCACAGTGGCCCTCTGTATGTTGCGTTATAGAACTGGAGGACATGGAGCTCAACTATTTTGAGGGACTGGACTTCATTGTTGGGGTGGCAGCAGAAATCAACAACTAGAATTCTCCAGGACTGATGGCCTTACATTTGATTTCAGCACTTAGTGAAGCATTGCGGGCAGCAGAAGTAGGATTGGTTTCACTGGTTGTGCAAAAAGTAGATCTATTAAAGGATTAATGCCCTGATCCTAAACACAATTACAAAGTTCAGTGAACCTTACTTCCATGTACGCATGCTGTGAATCGCAGCTTAGAACAGGATACATCCTGTTCTTTGCAAATGAACTTCCATGGGAAAAGAAATTGCAGTCTAACATTGTTTTTCCTGAAACGGTAAATAGAATCCTGAGATTTTCTTTTGTTGCCCACCCTGCTCCAAAAGACAGAGAAACTGGGAAAGCAATATGTCAGTGACTAAGGTTGGGTCTTGGAAAAGATTCAGCTGGGACACTAAATACACCAATGATTATTTACAATGGGATTAATTTCATTCACATTGGAGAATACCTATTATGTTTCCATGGTTTATGCCCAAGCAGCCACCTAATTAGAAGGAATTTATTTTCCACAAAGCTTGCAGACCCATTAAGAACCATAATATTTTAATATGTTGTTGTTGTTGTTGTTGTTGTTGCCAGTCATCTTCTATTTCCACTTCCTCCACTTTCTTCCTGTTTGCCACCATAAGATGTTATTCGTATAGTCCCCTTATCAAACTCCTGCACTGCTTCCTGGCACTCTGGGTCAACGAAAGGGTTAAAAATTCTCTATCTCTATCTTGATCTTTGTTGAAATGGTGTGTATGGGAATGAAATGGTTGCCAATTTGTTTGTAATGCATTCTGACTGTACGGGAGTTCTTTTTTCTCCTGACAGGCAGGTGAGATCAAAGTGGCACAGGACAAAAGGGGCTCAGCAGTGATTTGTCAGGGGACGAAAGGCAGTCTTGTCTGGGAAAGTGGCTGTAGCCCAGAACGAGCCTTCAGATCACTAACACACTAAAGAAATCATGGCATGAGAAAAAGTACAGCAGAAAAGGTTCAAAGGTCAGTTTTATTTGGTTTAGATTGTTGGTGCCTCCTTTTAAACCACAGACCAAATTGGGGGAGCAAGGGGCGGGTGGGTGGAAAGAACAGGCTAATAACCGTTTTATTGTCTGGGTGGTGGGGGAACCCTCTTTTGTACACACTGAACAGTCTGAGATTGTCTGTAATTAAAATGCTGTTGTTCAAGCCAAGGTCTGCTTCTCTCAGTCTCTGCTCCCTTATAAGTAATTCTTAACCACAAGTATAGCCGACTCTCCAGTGGGATTGCTTATGCAAGTTAGGGTTAATTTTCAGGACTAAGGGTTTGTGGACTTGGACATCAGCCTTGCTTCTGTGTGTGGGTGTGTTTAATGGAAAATCCATTACCACTATTGGTTTGCTGTGGTTTATGAAAAAGTTTCAGGTCTTTCTCAACTAATCTGCAATGCCTTGTTTTGGAGATGACAAAGCATGCCAGATTTGAATCAAATATAAGAAAACCATGGAGGAAACGTATTCTTAGAGGAATTTGGGTGATCAGGCTGAATTTTGTCAGGTGCTGACAGAGACTTCCCACAAAATGCAAATAGCAGCTTCAGAGAGGACAGTTTGGTAGGACTGTGACAGGGACAGAAAGTGTTCAACCCTGCTTTGTCAATCACCACAGTCTCCAAGCTGCAACTGCTATTTGCATACCTAAAAAATATGGACATTAATTGCATTCACACAACAAACACCATATCTAGTCTGCTCTCCCAGATTCCCCCGGTCTCCATCGGTGGGAGAGATCTGCTGTTGGCAGGGAAGACTATGTGCCTGCACAAGCTTGTTCATTTAGCCCAGGTTTTCTACTCTGGTTTGTCATTCTTCAGGTTACCAATTACCCCCCAAAGTGGTTGGCTCACCCTTGCTGGAGGTCTCCAAATAGAGTTTGTACACTCATCCATTTGGGTTGCTGTAGTTCTGGATTTCTAGCATCAAGAAGGGGGTAAGGTTCCCTCTTCCTCTGTGATTCAGTGTCTGCACTGGGCAGGCATGCAGGTGGACAGGGTAGCCATGCCCAACAGGGACATGAGACATGATGCTGGTAACCTATACTAGATGGTTCTGGCCAGTTAGCACTGTAGTGATAAAAACATAAGAAGAGTCTTGCTGGATCAGGCCAATGGCCCATCTAGTCCAACAGCCTGTTCTCATAGTGGTCAACCAGATGTTTATGAGATGCTCAAAAGCAGGACCTGTGATTCACAGCAAATGGCATTCAGAGGCGTGTTGTCTCATACAGTGGTGGTAGAGCATAGCCATCACAGCTAGGAGCTGTAGTGGTCGTCACTAGGTTCGTCCTCACCTAGCAGCCCCTATGCTTCCAGTGTTGACTTGCAATGTGTCACTGTGGGTGCCAGACCTCTCCATACCTGTCACCAATCCACAACCACACAGGGGGAGACTGCTTCTTATCCCCTTATCCCTATATCAGTTTGGTAAGAAAGGGGAAATTCTTGCAGAAGTTGTTCTATGTGGCCCTGTTCTTGGCAAGAATCTGAGGAATATCCAATGCAAGAATTTGCCCTTTCTCTCTCAAAAGAATTCCAGGACTGAATCTTTGCAAACTCTTAACAAACACAATCCCTGAAAGTTTTCTCCAATTCCACCCTCTGCGTCCCCTAAAGACAATATTGTGTTTCGAGGCAGAGATAAGAGAATGACGAAATTCTTACGTCTGGCCTAGAAACATTTAAGATGGTACAGGTATCTCGCCATAACCAAGAGGAACTCCGATTCATCTTTCTGTTACTGTGTTATCTTTGGTAAAATATCTCTGGACGGATTCAAATGTCTGGCTTTGCTAGCATGAAGGGAGTTTTTGAAGTCTTATAGCAGAGATCTTTAAAAGACAAAGGTTATAAGAAGAGTCCAATTCGTGATGGAACTGTGAACAGACAAAAGCTTGTTTGAATGGCTGCTTTTCAAAAAATGTTATGAAGTAGCATTTGAAACAGGCAGGGTTCTGACACCAGATTCCTGGAACAAGAGCTTCTACCAATCCTTCATCGTGGAATCATGTTGGATGGAACTCATAAAGTCCAGTCCATTGGGTCCATTTCAGTTTGCAGGATTTTCCCACAGGGATCTCCAGAAACACCTCCCTGCCAACTTCATTTTCTTGAGCCTACCAGTGCAGGAAGCAAGCAGCACTGTGAAGACTGCAGTAGAAAAGTCCCAGGCTTCAGTCCTTCTCTGCAAGCTTCACGTCACAATATCTGGAAAGGCTGATGGTGATGGGAAAGTTGGTCACCCTGCTTCACAGTATCCTTGAACACCGCTATGAGAATAGTGGAAGAACATCCTGGATTGTCTTATACAATGGGAAATGTAGTGTTCTAATGGTTATGTTAAGACATGCAAAGCATGTTGATGTATAATTAAAACAAGAGGCCTAGATGATTCAGAACAGGTCCAGTTCACAGGAAGATTTATTTTTGACCACTAGCTCTCAAAGCTGAAGTTGACCAGGGTTAAAATTCCCGCTGAACTCCTGGTTAGCTGAAATACTACAAAATAATGGACAGCGCACATCATCCTTATCCGAAGATCATTCCTGCCTAAGTATTAAGGTCTTCTTTTATTATCAGCACAAATGCAATGGTGTTTCTGCTCTCTCACCACTCTCTGCACACCCCACTGCTCCACATCTGCCCTGGAGGGTTGGAGAAAACCCCAGAACAGACCTGGGGGAGGAGAGTTCATGAAAGGTGTTCCATGCATGTAATAATTTAGCTTGATGCAACCCACTGGGTGAGTGTACATCATACATTTAAAGCACATTGAAAGCTACCCCCCCAAAACCCAGGAACCCCCTCAAGGAGCTACAAATCTCAGCACCCTTAAGAAACTACAGTTTCCAAAATGCTTTATAGGTGAAATGTGATTTAAATGTATGGAAAGTACACTGCCTCTGTTTCTTCTTTTAATAAATGATGTTTTAATGTTTTGCTGTATCTGTAGTATATTATTATTATTATTGTATTCGCTACCTTTCTATCTTGCTTTTTAAACTTACCTACTTTGAAGTTTTCGGGAGGGCAGGGCATAAATACCTTAAATAGCAAACAAGTTAATAAAGCGAGCAGATAAATAAGAGCAGAGCATTACACTACTGCTATATTCTCCAGATGGTCCAGAAGGATTTGATTTTCAATAGTAGCAAAAGCCACTGAAAGGTTAAGAAGGGTCATATCCATGCAGCCCTCCACCCCAGTTCTTCTCTATATGTTGACCAGGACAGCTAAAGCAGTATTGCGACCAAATCCTGACTCAAAACTGATTGCAATGTGTGTTATCCAGAAGAGCCTAGATTTCCAGGTCATATTGCCTCCCCAAAGAAGCAGAAAATTATATTAGTATTCATTTGATGAATCCAGAGAGGACTTCTTGAAGCACTGACCTATCAAGGCATCCTTCAGATCAGACGACATGTAAAGACGCTTTTCTTTAAGCTTTTTGTTTTTTTACCATTAATGTGTTTTAATGATCAAGTCAGCAGAGGTTCACGGTTCCTGTCTGCATTGTCAGGTAAGGGAGTCTGAAACCAATTAACTAACATTATTTTGTACTTAGTCCTTCAAAGTCCCTTTTTCCTTACAGAACTAAATAAAAAAAGTTCAGTGATTGCAGCAGGTATGACGGGAAGCATTTCAAATATTCCTTTATTTTTCCCCATTTTAAAAAAGGGGGTAAGTTTAAAAATCAGAATCTGACCTTGAAGCAAGTGGATTGGACCTATATAATATTTACATTGGTCTGATTTCTGATGGGGCTGTGGATATTTGGGGTTTCCCCCTTTAAGGTTGAGCAATATATTTTCAAGATCACACTTACAGTGGGCGATATTATGACATTATCTGGATATGGAAAGGATGTCATTCCAATTAAAGATATTGCTGTTGTTGTTTAGTTGTTTAGTCATGTTCAACTCTTCGTGACCCCATGGACCAGAGCACGCCAGGCACTCCTGTCTTCCACTGCCTCCCGCAGTTTGGTCAAACTCATGCTGGTAGCTTCGAGAACACTATCCAACCATCTCATCCTCTGTTGTCCCCTTCTCCTTGTGCCCTCCATCTTTCCCAACATCAGGGTCTTTTCCAAGTCTTCTCTTCTCATGAGGTGGCCAAAGTATTGGAGCCTCAGCTTCACGATCTGTCCTTCCAGTGAGCACTCAGGGCTGATTTCCTTAAGAATGGATAGGTTTGATCTTCTTGCAGTCCATGCGACTCTCAAGAGTCTCCTCCAGCACCATAATTCAAAAGCATCAATTCTTCGGCGATCAGCCTTCTTTATGGTCCAGCTTTCACTTCCATACATCACTCCTGGGAAAACCATAGCTTTTACTATACGGACCTTTGTTGGCAAGGTGATGTCTCTACTTTTTAAGATGCTGTCTAGGTTTGTCACTGCTTTTCTCCCAAGAAGCAGGCGTCTTTTAATTTCGTGGCTGCTGTCACCATCTGCAGTGATCATGGAGCCCAATAAAGTAAAATCTCTCACTGCCTCCATTTCTTCCCCTTCTATTTGCCAGGAGGTGATGGGACCAGTGGCCATGATCTTGGTTTTTTTGATGTTGAGCTTCAGACCATACAGACCATTAAAGATATAGAGATCACCTAATTACAGGTGGTAGGATTATTGGAAGGTATTGGGGAAAGCGAATCTCTCAAACATAAGTGGTTGTGAATGAAACTGACTGGGACTACTTTAAGTTAATGGTATCACTTGACAACATTTTGGAATGGGAGATTTTGCACCAAATATATTGTAGCATTATTATTTTGCTATGAAAGATCTGTCAGTGGTTTAGTATTATTTGAGCAGACTTGAGCAGTGATAGCAAATGATAACAAAAACATGAAACTACATTTTGATTCATCCTATATGATATTTTTATTTTTAGATGCTTATACATTGGTTACTAGTTTAAATTGCCCCAACATATGTGTTTGGGAACGGTGATAATAATCTGCGACTTGCTGTGTATTCCATAGAGCGCTGGGCGTTTTATTCTGTTCAGCTTCTGTACTCAGAAAAAGGACTCGCCTTCTAAGGAGCCTTGTTAACTCTAGGCATGCATCAAAAGCAGGGCAAAGCGAGGCTGTGTGGTCTTGGGAAGTCATTTCAACCAGATTAGATTGTTCGCAGGGTGCAGAACTGCCCCACTGGGGAAGCGACAAAGGAAGCTGAAAGCGGCTGGGTCCCCGCCCTCCCTCCCAATCCCGCCCTCCCCTTCCCAAGCCAGGTGCAGCCTCACGGGGGCGGGAGGGGGAATATTTCCAGGCAGGGAAATGTAACTTGCTGGGCTGCCCCGTCTCCCCAAGAGCGCACCTCGGACCTGCCTCGGCGCCCCTTCCTCCCTTCCCACGGTCCGTGTTTGAGTTAGTAATGGGTGTTTAATTGGGGGAGGGAGAGCAATTGCCCTCTCCCTGAGGAGGGGGCCCGCCTCTTCGCCTCGGCATTTATTGCCCTACAAATTGTTACTTCCTCCTCGCCTTCGACTTCACAGCGCCGCTTGTAAATCACTCACGTCGAGGCGCTCCAGAGGAGAAGCGCAGCAGCGGGGGCGCGCGCGGACCGCTCAGCAGGCGCAGAGGAGCGTCGGATTCAGGCGCAGGCTGCCGATAGGTTCGGGGGTAAATTCTGAAGTGCTGGCGCTCTTCAGGACAACCTCCGTGGCCACACACACACACCCTTCTAAGAATTTTTGTGCAATGCCTAGACAGCCAGTTTCTCTCCCTCTCTCACTCCCAACTCCCGCTTTCTTTCACATCCAACCTGACGAAGGACTCTGGTGGAGTCGAACGCTTGCTCACTACTATTTGGTCCTAATAAAGGGCCTTTGGACCTTTCCAAATAAAGCTGGCAGATGGACCCTCAGCCATGCAGACTGATGTAACCCCTCGCTTCCACCACTGATATTATTTTCTGGTTTTCTCTCTGAAAGAGGACAGTAGGGGAGATAAGTGCCTTGCCAGTCTCTGCTTCGCGGCAGTCCTGGAGAGAGGATGGAGAGATAAACGAGGTCCTTAGTCCAGGCAGGAGGCAAATATGGAGAGGAGATCGTAAAAACACACACAAAAAATCCCCCCAAAAACCACAACCTTCCACGCCACCCATCAGCTCGAAAGGTGGGGTCCGCTTGTCTCTTTTCTTCCCAGTTTACGAACCAATACCTCACCACCCCCCATTCGTTTTCGACTATGCAGATCGCATTTCTTTCAAAGCTCGTATCCGGTTCAAGACTCCTAGATCTGAAACGGAATGATGCCGGATCCCTTGGAATAACGGGCCTCAATGAAGACTTTAGGCTAGGCGCTAGTGCTGCGTGGTTTCGACGGAAAGCGCGCAGCCTGATCCTAAGGAGGCTGACTCAGGTGCCGCCACCTTGAATAAAATATTGTGGGGGTCCAAGTAAGCCCTGCCCCGCATAATCGATCACATGGCAGAGCCCATCAAGTGGGGGGCGCCCCGTAAAATATTTTATTGGAGGGGGGGCGAAGCCCCCTCGGCCCCTAGGAGTTGGCTCCTATGCTCAGAAATAAGTGGGTCGAACTAGGATCTGGGACGTCAGCGTTCAAACCGGTCTCTCGGCCTAGCCTAACTCCCTTGTCGTGAGAAGAAAACGGAGAGAGGTGGGCGAAGAACCCTGTACAGCGCCTTGCACCTTGGAGAAAAGGTGGGGATAGGAAAGCAATAAATAAATGAGCGTTGCTCCTCATCTTCAAGAAGGACAGGCTCAACATGGTTTTCTTGGTTAAGGCAATCTGGGGCTGCAGCGATTTGGGAGCATTCTTCTTCTTTTTATAAAACAGATTTCCAGAAAGAATCGCTGACCACATCCGACTCCCAGCCCTCGCTTCGAATCCGACCACATCAAAGTGGTGCCCCCGCCCCAAAATGTCCACCGGACAAAACGACCACGGCCCCGAGTGGGACGGCGCGTTGTGGCGCAGACGGGCTGCCTGGCTTTGGGCAAGGGCTCTGCAGGGAGAGGGAGGCAGGCAGCCCAGGCTCCCGCTGTGGAAATTTCACTGGGGGCCACATTCGTTGTTTGGGAGCCCGTCTGCATCCCTTGCCCTAAAAAGGAAGGTGCCCCCCCCCCGCCCACGAAAGAGCGCTGGCTGACTGTTGCGGAGGGGGAGCCTGCCGCTGCTCGGCGCCCGGGGCCGAAAGGGGGCGGAGAACGTCTGAGGTGCTCAGCTTGAAAGCGGCCGCGGTAATACGAGCGAGATGGAAGGCAGGAGCGAGCTGCTCTGCCGCCCACGCCGCCCCTTTTCTTTCCTTTTCTGCTTTTAAGGCAGGCAAGGGCGCATCAGGATGAGGAGAAGGTGGTCAGGGAGGGAGGGGGGCTGCGCGCGCGCACACACACACACACACACACGGTCCTGGCGTCCATTCCAGACAGCTTCTTCCACAACCCTCCCCAATCCCCAAAACCAGCCCTGAAATGTGCTTGGCGAGGGCGAATTCGTGCCCAGCGCCTTTATCCTGCCTTTCCAAGCCAACGCCCCGCCCGCTCTGCTGAGCAGGTATTTCTCTTCACCCGTTATATATACACTGTACACACACACACACACACACACACACACACGTGTCCCACTTGGAAGGCTAGAGATTTCACCCACAATCCCGGATTCTCACCCGCACTTATAATTCCGGACGCACAACCCAACACCATAGTTAAGCACTGTTGATTTCAGTGCGCTTGACTTTTAAGTCCCGTTTTAAATCCATGGGGGAATTGGTTTGTTGTTTGTTTGTTTGTTTGTTTGTTTGTTTGTTTGAAATGCCTTAACAGTGGTATCCCCCCTAAAAAGGTGAACTAAAGCTTCAATACTATGCTGTTAAAAACGCGCACGCGTTATGGGTGATATCCAATATTCATACGCAGAGTAGACCCAATGGAATCAATGGACTGAAGTCAGGCTGGGTACGACTTAAAATTGGAATAATAATAATAATCCCCTGTCTGATCGATTCCTACTTGTGAGGTAGAAATCGTGGGAAAAGGAGAGATGGTTGAAAAATGTGTGGCTGAGAGTCTTTAATATTATGTTTTATTTCACATGAAAGAAGATTGAATGATTGGGTGTATTTCAGGTTTTTAGAGGGGCAGTTCACCAGGCTGCATCCTAAGCACATTCCTGACTAGGCTCAGGTTGCCCAGGTGAAACTGACTAGATTAGTTTACTCACCTACGACCAGTCCTTCAGGGAAGTAGGAGTTTCCGGTTACCCCCAGTGCGTCATCTCTTGAAACATATACAATCTGTAGCATTTAATTTTGTTGTATTATAAACTGCTGCACTGGGTTCGATCATATTGGCTAATATCACTGTAGCCCGATGTTATGCATGTTTACTCGGAGTAACTGCAGTATGTAGGACTGCTGCCACATTTTGGTCATCGCTCCAGTTGTAGGTTCTTTGAGCAGATCAGGACATTTCACCGGGCTACTTCTGTCCTCAGCATCGTTTTTAACCACTCGCCATTGAACAAGCAGGCGACTGTATTTAGCAGGTTACACTACAGCCATTGGGGTTTTATTTTCTTTATTTATAGAAGCTTTTACAAAGCGATTTAAAACAAACGAACGCAAAAGGAACCTCTCTTTACGAACAGTTCTGTAAGGGTGGACAGACGCAACATACGTAACTTACCACATAGAGACAAGCACATCTGTGTTTTTATTTATTTATGCATACATAAATAAATTTAATCCGGTCAATTGTATGACAGCCATGCAACGTTCCCATACCTAGTGGAAACCAGGAAGCTGGCCGAAATTTGGCTAATTGATTGATCCACCAAAAAGTGTTTCCTTTCATCATTCCAGACAAAAGGAAATCGTTTAAATCACCAAAGGCTGTCTGTGAAATCTTTGAATGCTGCTGGTGGTTGGTGGTTTCTCTCTCTCTCTCTCTCTCTCTCTCTCTCTCTCTCTGCCCCCCCCCCCCGATTCTTGAGCTGCTGTCCAAACCTCTTTTCTCATCCTTCCTTTTCGTTTTAAACGTGTATTTGGACGTCAAGTCGTCCGTCCTTGTCACGCATTGTGAGCCTGTGGGGATCGAGAAAAGCCGGTGCCCGACCCCAGGAGCGTGTTTCTCTCAAGGTAGACATTTTCAGATGCAAAATCACTTTTTCAGTTAGGAGTTGAGGGGGTTTTCTTGGGGGGGGGAGATAGGAAACCATCAGCCCCATCCCTCGTGTGGGTGGCTGGGTGGGTGTGAGGGGGCGATGTGGTGCTCTGCAAAAGGCCACCCGGGAGCGTGCGTGCGCGTGTAGATGCGCGCGCCCTCGCGGCTGGACGCGGTGCTGCGAGCCTGTGCGCTCTCATCCTGGATGCGGTCTGGAAGCTCACCCGGGACTTGTCTCTTTTCCTCGCTTGCGCTATTATCAGATCAGTCTCCTGTGGCCGGGAGCGCCTTTCCTACGTACGAGCCGTCGATTAATGCGATGTGCCCCTAGCCTTTCCCCTGGCATTTCGGGACCCCCGTTTCCCTTCCTACCTCCCCTCCCCTCCCCTCCTTTTCCTCCCCCGCCTCTCTCCCGCCCTCTCTCTCTCTCTCTCTCTCTCTCTGTCATTCTGGAGCCCTGAAGGCTGCCCTGATCGCAGCACCGCCACTTAATCCAAACAGCTGGGCCTCTCCAGTTTGCTTTCCTCGACGACGTCTATTTACTTAAAGAGATCTAAAACCAATTAAGAAGGGGGAGAGGAGGAAGAGGGAGGGAGGAAGACGAGGAAACCGACCTGGATTGAAACAAACAAACAAGCAAGCAAACAAGCGAGCGAGCGAGCCAAGGAGCCCCCCTCCCGCCCGACGAGAACCACAACCTAGCGGCCGCCTCGTCCATGCGTCCCGATTGGACCCGGCGCGGCGGTGGCCACCTAGGAGAGCTGCCTCGGCCGCTGCAGCCCGGCGCTCTTCCCTGATGGGCCCGTCGGGGCTGTGCTGTGCCCGGAGCTGAGCGCCGCTGCGGCCCCCGCCATGCCACAATGGTGACCGCCTGGCTCGTCCTGCTGAGCGCCTTGCAGGCGGCGCGGGGCTCCCCCGGGCCGGCGGCGGCCGGCGGGGCCCCGTGGGGCCCCCGTGCGCCCGGGGAGGGCCGTCGTGCGACCCGCGCTGGCGCAGAGACGCCGGCGGGCGCGGCGGCGTCTACGAGCATCTCGGCGGAGCGCCGCGGCGCAGGAAGCTCTACTGCGCCACCAAGTATCACCTCCAGATCCACGCCAACGGCAGGATCAACGGCACCTTGGAGAAGAACAGCGTCTTCAGTGAGTACCGCTTGGCCCCCTGCCCGACCCTCACCCGCTAGCCGAGCTCCCCGAGACCCGACGTGGAAGCCAGCCCCCCCCCCCCCCAAATCTGGCTCCCAAATCGAGGCGCGTTTAGCCCCGACGACCGGGCCTCGCCGCCGCCTCTCGGCGATTCGACGGCTCCTCGGCCACCGGGTCCGGGTGACGGGACACCTGGAGAAACCCGCCCGATGAACCCCATGAGCCGTCGAGAATTAAAGGCTGCAGCTTAGAGGCATGCAAAAGGGATCAGGCGTGCGCGCTGAGAGGTTACCCACGGGAAATTTCTCACCCAAGGGGAGATTTTTTAAAAATAAAAAAAATCAGATCAAAGCGGGCGGTTTTAAAGCAGAGGTTGGACGGCCATCTGTTAGGAATTCTTTTGCGGCAATTCCTGCGCTGTAAGGGGTTGGATTAGATGACTTTCAGGGTCCCTTCCAACTCCACATTTGCGGAAATCTCCGTGCCCGTCCCGTCCTTTGTGCAATCTTGATATGTTGTAATAATACCTTCGATTTATTTCAGCCAGGGACTAAAATTTGAGCTCAAGACCCTGCTTGGGTCTTCAAACACATTGTGTTTTTTGGGTGGGGGAGCCACGCTGAAAATAAATAAATAAACATTCGCACCTAGCTCCGGAAACATACTGTAGCATGTGTTGACTTTTGCCAATTCAGTTTGAGCAAAACGTAGGGGAGTAACAGTCCCTACTGTACACAATGGGGGGAAAGCAGGCATTCTCTGGCTTTGCCAGTTCAGCCTTGGAAATTTTAAGCAATGATTGGCAACCTGTAGGAGAGATGCTTAGGATAAAGGGTCTGGCCAGGGCAAGTGAGAACCATAAGGATAGGACAACAAGACCATGCTTCTGACCATGTGCAAAGTATTTTCTGCTGGCCATTGGATAATCACCATCAGCTTCCAGATAAGGCAGTGGCTGAAAAGATGTGCATGATAGATGGTTGGCCATGCTTGTCTTTTTAGGGATAAATTTTAGAAAGGTTATTCTACCCACCCATCCTCAAGCAACCAGCCCAGAAGACATTATAAATATAACCCTCAAAGGAACACAACAAGTACCGGTAGGTTAAACATCAATTTCATGGAATATAAAGGCTGTCAGTGGTTCTATACTAGCCTCAGTGGTTATACTCTGCCTCCGTGGGTGCAGGCAGCATGTTTCTGAAGTTCAGCTGCTGGAAGCCATGGGAGACCCCACGGGCTCTTGGTTTGCCAGTGAGAACAGGATGCTGGGCTGGACAGGCAACTGACTTGATCTGGCAGGGCTCTTCTTAAGCTATGTTCTTGTGCTTGTCAATCATCTTCCAGTGGCTACCACTGATGCAGCGGACTAATAAATGTACAGTGGTACCTTGGGTTGCAGATGCTTCAGGTTGTAGACTCTGCTAACCCAGAAATAGTACCTCGGGTTAAGAACTTTGCTTCAGGATGAGAACAGAAATTGCACGGCGGCAGCAGGAGGCCCCATTAGCTAAAGTGGTGCTTCAGGTTAAGAACAGTTTCAGGTTAAGAACAGGCCTCCAGAACGAATTAAGTTCTTAACCAGAGGTACCACTGTATTAGTCTTTAAGGTGCCATGAGACACATTTGTTGGTTTTGCTGCAAAGAAAGAAAGAAAGGGAGGAGAGAGAGAGAAAGACCAACACTACCACTCTGGAAATTAAATCTGTTTTTGTGGCAAGTCTTAGTCTAAGAATTGTGGCTGTTTTGCTTCCACGTATTTAATTTTTAATGTTTTTCTTTGTTTTCTGCCTTGCACTTTACATATCAAATACTCTCTGCAGTCAAACATAAGACACAATGGGAAACAAACCACTGTGTGTGTGTGTGTGTGTGTGTGTGTGTGTGTGGTCACATCCACACCATCCATTTAAAACACTCTTATGACACCATAACCATCATGGCTTCCCTCAAAGAACCCTGGGGACTGTAGGAAGGGTGCTGGGAACTTTAGCTCTACGATGGGTCTCCTAACAACTCTCGCACCCTTAACAGCCTACAGTTCCCAGGATTCTTTGGGTGGAAGCCATGGCTATTTAAGTGCTTTAATGGATGGTGTGGATGGAGAAAGGCTAGTTCCATCATGACTAGGACTAGTGAGGCTGGGATCCTTTTCTTTTTTTGCCTCTGGATGATGCGAGTGGGGAATATATTTTTTTGAAAGCAGCTTCTAAAATTACCCCCCCCCACCAGGCTGTTCCTCTGCCGCTCCAGACAGAAAGCAAAGGGCACAAAGGAAGGGGCTCCCAAGAATCCTCAGCATAGGTCTTTTCAGGTTTGTCTCTCCCCAAAAGGAGAGGAGCGGGTGGGAGCCCAAAGGACTTTCCTCTCCTCTCCCTTTTGTTCCTCCTCTTCCTGGAAATCTTTCCTGGACGTAACTTGTTTCTCTCCCCCTCTCTCCTTCTCATCTCTCCAAATATACATCCCTGTGGGGAGGAGAATCAGTGCTAGAAGAAGCAAAGAAACTCTCTGGAATTGACAAAAGTTAAGGATCCACTGGGGACTGCTCCTTAGTTTATCGTCTCCTAAGGTGTGAGTTCCCAGGACCAGCTTTCAAATCCCTCTTCCCTTTTATGACACCAGGTCAGATTGCAGCACTAATCCTGGAGAGGGAGGCGGCTGGTTTGTAAATAATGTGTCAAGATGACTTTCACACTTCCGTCTGTTCATCTCAGCCTGTTTGTTTGGTTTCCCTTCCCCTCCTATTCACCTTGTTTGATTTGTCTTTGGAGAGTTAGGGCACATTTTCTGAATGGGCTGCGGACATGGTAGGATGGGCACATTTGCTTATCAAAGGCAGGCTGCATGTGTTAAAGACTATCCTGTGCAAAAGGAGGAACATTGCAGTCAGAAGTCAGGGCGCACTCAGACATGGACACCCATCACTCGGTGGCAAGGGTGCAGGGGTGGCATAATAACTGTCATCTCAAGCAGTACTTTCAGGCAGCACAGTAATTTTCAGTGGAAGCAGTTCAGGCCAAAGCAAAACACTCTAGCAACTCCTGCACATCAAAGGGACTTAAAAGAGCTTAGCTTTGGCTTGGTTTTGCCACACCTGACTATGTGCATCACATACCTGGATCATGGAATCATAGAAATGTAGAATTGGAAGAGAGCCCAATGGTCACCTCCTCCAACCCCCTTAAATGCAGGGATCTCAACTAAAGCATCCTTGACAGATGGCCATCCAACCTCTGCTTAAAAACCTCCAAGGAAGGAGAGTGAACCACTTTCCGAGAGAGTCCGTTCCACTGTTGAGCTGCCCTTCCCATCAGAAAGTTCTTCCTGATCTTTAGTCGCAATCTCCTAACTTGAAGCCATTGGTTCGGGTCCCACCCTCTGAAGCTGGAGAAAACAAGCTTGTTCCCTCTTCCATGTGACAGCCCTTGAGATATTTGAAGAGGGCCATCATATCTCCTATTCTCTGCTATGACCAGCTTATATTCATTGTATAAAACTTTCACGAAGGTTCCTCAAGACTCTGTGAAAAGAGGGAATATATTTCAATTAATGTATAGTGGGCAGATATATGTGAAGCAGATTAAATGAAACAGATTAAGCAGATAAGAATTAAACTCATTGAGATGTTCAAATCTTGGTCAGTTGTGTACAGCATAACCCCTCCATTGTACCACAACATCATAGAATTGTACTGTAGAAAGTGAACCTTTCAGTCCTAATCTCTTGCTTCAAGAGGTTTAATCTCAGGCATCTTCAGGTAGGCCTGGGAGAGGCTCCCACCTGAAACCCTGGAACGCTGCTTTCGACCAGTGCAGGCAGTACTGAACTAGATGGGCCAATGGTTTAATTTGGTTTAAAGCAGCTTCCCCTCTTGACACAGGCCTACCCAATCTTTTGTCCTTTGATCTCAAAGGAAAGGAATATCATTTCTTGAATGCTTGCTGTTCACCTGCACAGAGAAGAAGAGAAAATCTACTTATGGGTAAATTTACACATACATCCACTCAGTGGCACTCATTCAAGTGACAGCTTGATCAAACACTTCAGACAGAGATTTAATAGCACAATATTTTTCAGTGGTGGCAGTTCGCACATGTAACTTAAAACCATCAAGTGATGCCAAAGCACAATGGTGAATGTGCCAATTGTGGGATATTTAAAATGCAGTCACGCCAACAATTTTGCTAGATAGGCACAGGACAGGAGCTGAAGCTCACCGAGATTTCCTGTAAACTTGCTAGAATGAACCCTGTGAGAGACACTCCCACTGTGCCCTGACAGAAGGAGGGCATAGCTATATATTCTCCTACCTGCCTGGGCACACCCTCTCTCTCTCTTGCCATCTCTTTCTGCTCTGCCAGCAACATGAGAACATCTGCTGGGTCTGAGCTCCAATGCTTGGACTTAATCTTAAGCTGGACTTAAGTATGTTTTTGTAACTGAATTACCATTTTAAGCCTGCCTGAACAAAGCTGTGGTTATCTGTTACTCTTCAACAAGTGTTCTGAGTGAGTAAATGTTATTTCTACCTGTTAAAAGATTGCTTGTTTGATTATTGCTTTAAGGGGGAGAAAAGAGGGAAATACAAGGAGAATCCAGTTTGCCTTAAAGCATCCTGGATTTCTTAAACTAAAAGGCTAAAACTAGCCTATCTAACTTCCCTTTTAAGCTGCAACTCTGCTGAACTCAAACACGAGGAAGGATGATATCTAAGAAATATACCCTCTCCTAGCATCTATTCACATCCCATCGCCAAGCAATTCTATGGTCCTGCCATGCTGGCAGCCAGTTTATGCCCACATATTGTCAGTCCATTACCCACCATGACATGTGACTTGGGTGAAAAGGATATATGCACAGAAGGAGTAGTATTTAAAATATGTCTTACTTCTTCATTGCCATAGAAATCCTAAAGCAGGTTACATTCAAATCAAATGCACGTTGTATATTAAAACAAACCAGGCAGGAAGAAAATTGGTTCATCTATCATCTATCTATCTATCTATCATCTATCTATCTATCTATCTATCTATATCTATCTATCTATCTATCTATCTAATCTATCATCTATCATCATCTATCTATCTATATCTATCATCTATTTATCTATCTATCAATATAATGACAAATGATTCAGGAGTCCTCACAGAAAAGCCTGGACAAATAAATAGGTCTTTATTTGGAACTAAAAAGAGTTTCCTCTAGCCATAACTGAGAAATGAGAGAATTCTATAAATGGGGTGTCAGTACCATGAAGGCCCTATCTCTTCATTAGGCATCTGTGTCCTGAGCTGTATATAGCTTTATATATATAGCTTGAACTTAGCTCAGCAGCATATATAGGTAGCCAGTGGAATTCTTTTAGAACTGCTATAATATGCTCACAGTAGAGAGCCCCACACAACAGCCTAGCTGCGGCATTTTGTGCTACCTGCTGCTTCTGAACTAACCTTAAAGGCGTAGAGCTCATTATAGTAATTCAGAGGTGGGGAGCTGGAGGGAGCTGGTGGGCCAGAACCTTATAACACACCCCAATGAGCAACTTTGTTGGTCACCTGGTAACAGCAGGTGCTTCTTTAGTGCCAATCACCTGTTTGGTGCTGGAAGTGCACCTTCAAAGAGGATCCCTGTAACCAATGATCAGCTGGTCATCAGTTACTGGGAGCCCTTTTGAAGTCTCAGTAGAGGAAGAAATACTCCTAAAAATGGAACATTTTTAAAGGGTCCCTGAAGGGGAAAACCATAGTGCAGCTGATTCCAGCTGATTGTCAGGGCTTTAGTTTTGCAGGGCTCTATTCAAGCACCGACCACCAGCTTATTGTTGGCATCCATGCTGTGCTTTGAAGCCCCAACAATCTCTTGAATGGGTTTCAACAGAAAGCATGGCTTGAAAGTGCCTTGCAATTGTACAATGCTCATCTGTAAATCCCTGTTTGGTCCAGCCGTGACTTTATTACAGGGCAGGTGACTGGCCTGGCCAGAACAGCCTGGCAGGCCAAATCAAGTCCATAGGCAGGTTTCTCATTTCTGCAGTCATCCCATGATAGCCACACGTTGAGTCTGGACTCCTATTAATATTCATATTATTGTTTAAATTTATTAGTATCATTTTCTTGGCTGCAGGCAGCTCAAAGCGACTTGACAAAAAGCTAACAAAACAAAAACAAGAAACCCATACATTCATAAAGACCAAGAAAAGAAAATACATTAAAAATATCCATACAGGATGAAAGCCCACCTAGAAGCTGAAAGCCTGCATAAAAGGCCACACAGAGAGAGGGCTAGCCTGGTTCAGAAATCCACTTGTAACATGGACATGTCACGATAGAGCATGGGGAAGCTGCATGATATTGGCAACATGGAGAGTGGTCCATTATCCCTGTCCTGTCTAGGTATGGTCCCTCTTCACATTATTAGTACAGTGGTACCTCAGTTTAAGAACAGCCCTGTTTACGAACTATTCAGTATATGAACTCCGCAAAACCAGAAGTAGTGTTCTGGTTAGCAAACTTTACCTCGGTCTACGATTGGAAGCCAAATGGTGGAAGGGCACCGGCGGCAGGAGGCCTCATTAGGGAAAGCGCACCTTGGTTTAAGAACGGCTTTGGTTTAAGAATGGACTTCTGGAACGGATTAAGTTCATAAACCGAGGTACCACTGTATAGGAATGGGGCTATAGCCAGAACCCTGTTCTATGTAATGACATTGCAGGTGGACTGGGAGGTGTGGACTGAGGCTATTCCTGCCCTGACATGCCCCCATTGCTACCACTCTCCAGTCCTTCCACTAGCAGAGTTTCATCAGTGGTGGGGATTTGCCAGCATATCTCTGCTTTGCCAGTCCATCCCCGAACTTACATCAATGATGTTTTCCTATCATCTGCCAGTGCAGAGGACTTACACCAAGTCTTGAGGCTTCTCTGCCAGTATAGGATGATGCTCTGAGTGATGTACATACATGCAGGTGAACTGGCTATAAGACAGTTTCAGTGCAAAAGACAGTACAAAATAGCTCCACCATCCTTCCTGTGAAGGAAAAGGCAGCATCTTTTCAAAAACTGTTTAAAGACCTTAATTGAGTTTAAGCAGGAATAATTTCTTAGCAAATGAGATACCAAATTCAGTAATGAAAGCAACAAGCTTTTAAACTACTGGTGTCACAATCTGAAATGAAAAGAATAAATTTGTGCATGAATGATGTTGATTATTCTGACAGCATCTCCCAAGTGCTTTCCTATCTGTTGGGTCTCCGCACATATAACATTTTTTCAGCGTACATATAAAATCTGTTTCCCACCCCACTCTGTGGAATGTCTAAAACCATCATGTGACTTGCATGAATGTGATGGACAAGTGTTTGAAAGCGTATGTCTAGTTAGTTGTTTTTACATGTTGTGTTTTCTCCTGTTTATTGTACAATGCTTTGTGAGTCTTGGGCTTTAAATGCAGAATGCATTTAAAACACACACGGAAGCAAGCAGGCAAATATGTGTCACATGGCTACTCTGCTCAGAGAGCCAGGCTTGCTTGCACAATCTCTTTTGGATGTTAACATAGTGGGAAACACGAGTTGGTTGCTCTTTAATGTGTGAAGCAGTCCGGGATACATGCATACCTTTGGCTTTCTTGTTGTTTCACTTGTCTGGGCGATGAGACCCTTTCCTTTGATGGTCTGAAATAGTTCCACTCTTTGAATGTGGCTTAGACTGCCACATTGTCCTTCCCTGCAAGGGCTGCGCTGACTTTCTAAATGACAGACTCCATTCATGGTTCCATACGTGGCTTCTAAGATGCTTCAGCCTCTCGTCTGAACTCCATTTTGCCCTCTGGAGATCTCAGCCGAAGCATTGTCCCAAAATGGGCAGCTTTGTGGTTTGCTTCAGTAAGTCAAGCACCCTTGTGTCCCCTAAGAAAGGCATTAAAGGGGATTTAAACTTTTTATAGACATATAGGATTAGGTGGCCCTCTAGTTCAATGTCAGATCTTTCTTTTTCTGAGGCAGTTCAGTCTCAATCAAACAGCTGGGGATTTACTAGCAAGAGTTTGCTTCAAACAATTCCCATGCTTTTATTTTTCTTCCCCTTCCCCTTTTCTTTTCAATACAAAAGGGTTTGCTTATGAACTAAGTCATGAATGCAGGTATCTTGTGAGATGGTGCTCTTAAATGGGATGTTTCCCAGATGGAAGTAGCATTTGGGCAATTTAATATTAACAGCTGAAGACACAGCCCATTCACTGGGAGACCCAGGTTCGCAATTCTTGCTCAGTTCTAGATTCAGTCCATAGCCTTGAACAAGTGCATCATTTTTTCACTTCTGTGGGAATTGTAATAATCAACTTCATCAATTTATTGGGAGGATGAACGGAACCAGAGCTCCTGACAGCCAGTGTGATGTAGTGGTTAGAGTGTAGGACTGAGACTTGGCAGACCTGGGTTCAAATCCTCTGTCACCTGTGAAGCTCACTGGGTGGCCATGGGCCAGCCATCTGCTCTCAGCCTAACTTACTTCACAAGGTTGTTGTGAGGATAATATGTGTGTGGGGGGGGGGACTGTGTATGCCGCCTTGAGCTCCTTGAAGGAAAGATGGGATACAAATGAAATAAATAAATAAATGAAATGAAACAAATCACTTTGCAGAGCAACATGTCAATTATGAACACAATTAAGTAGGAGATGCAGGGATCTCTGTGGTGCCTCGTCCATCACAGTGTTGGGTTTCTTATTTGCAATCCGGTGACCCCCCAGAGCTTCTGGATATGTTTGCCTGACAGCACAGATCTGAGACAAGTATGTAGTCCCAGTGACAACAAGTGGTTTTGTGGGATATGAAACACAAGAGCAGTCAAGTACAACATTCCTAGAGTGAACATGTTTACACATGGGAAGGGTTGTTTGTCCAGCCAGCAGGTAAACTTCCCATTTCCTTCTGGGCTGGGACAGACTTCCTCTGCATGTGAGTAGAGGTGGGTGTGGCCTCACCTGTGCAGGTAATGAGAAAAGCACAGGGCAGGGCAGCCATCTCTCTCCTCTCTTTCACCACATGCATCGAAGAAACAACATCTACTGAGCCAAAGATGCCCTCTTGGCTTCCAGCCAAGAGAGGACAAAGGGACTGTCTTCTTAAGAGATAGATTCCAAGTGTAAGTTACTTCATTAAGCTAGGTCTGCCTTCTGGGATCTGATTGTGAACAGAATGTGAGTAAACTCTTTTTATACTTTTGTAAAAGACTGTGTTGTCCCTTATATTTTATGAGGGAATAAGGGGGAAATACCAGAACAGTTATTATAGAGGCTTTAGCGAGCCTGAGCAAACGCAGCCGCTGCAAATTTAAAAGAAGGGAATGTTACTCTGCTGAAATTGTGGAACTTGTTAACACAAGTGGGATAAAGATATAATCAGGCAATATATCCTCTCCTGCATCCCTGAACATTCCCACAGGTTTTACCTGCAGGTAAACATGGGAGGTTCATGATGTAAAAGTGCTACAAATTTTGTTAGTAATAATAATAATAATAATAATAATAATAATAATTTATTGTACATCATTGTATATCATTAAGCTAAAGCCTTCCTTTTCTGTTTTAGGCATCCTTGAGATTACTGCAGTGGACGTTGGAATTGTTGCCATCAAAGGCTGTTTCTCCGGCAGATACCTGGCCATGAACAAAAGAGGCAGACTTTATGCTTCCGTGAGTGCTATTTACAACAGAAGCATCTTAACTATGGCAAGGAAACTGAAGCATCCTACACTGGAGTGCCAGTCATTTTCAATGGGGATTTAAATACCATTGTAGTCCAAAGGACGCAAATACTGGTGTCTATGTACAAACGTTTATAGAGAACAGAAATATGTCCTTTGGTTTTAATGTGGGGATTAAGTAGCCAATGCTTGGAGGCCTCTAGATAAACTATTATGGTAAGCGCCAGGCATGCTCATTTTCCTTTCATGTGTGCTGCTGATCAGCCAAGGAAGGAGGGAGAGAGAGAAAAAGAGAGAAAGACAGAGAGCACGAAGGATTTATAACTACATAAATTTACATGTCAAGATATCCTTTTAGAGACTGTAAGTAACTCACTCAGGTGAATAAGTGTAAAGAGGTAAGGAAGTCTACAATTCACATTGTGATTAGGAAGGTTTCTCAAAAGAAAAATCTCCTGGGGATGTCAATGGGAGTCCCATTTGCACAATGCTATGAATGGGCTCCCAGTGTGCGTAAAGTAATTTAAGTTGGGATCTAACACAGCAGAGAGGTGCAGCACCAAAGCTGCTAACAGACGGAAAGAATGTGCAAATGAAATGAAGTTTTCCTCCAACACTTTCCAATTACCCTTCTGTACTTTAATCCGACTTCCCGGTATGTGTATGATAGGATACTTTACAATGAGGATTTGAGAGATACTGCACTGCCAGATAAGGAAGGCTGAAGAAGGGTTTTAATACACATTTACTGTGCATATTATTTAATGGAATCCAGTGCAATGTTGGGAGAAAAGTAAGAGAAAAGCATTAATCTGTAGTGTTAAGATGAGGAAACGACTCCATCTTCCCTCTCAATAACCCAAGTGCAACATGTGGCTGAGAGATGTTAGGTAACTCCTCACAGAGCTGCCACTGTCAGCACCCTTAACAAACCATCATTCCCAGGATTCTTTGGGGAAAGCCATGACAGTTAAAGTGCTATACCACTTTTAAAGAGTGCTTTAAAAGTATGGTGTGGATGTGAGTTGGCTGCACTGGTCAACTAATTACTGGATTCCAGGGTGAGCCAACTCCCCCCCTCCAAAAAAAATCCCACTCAGAATGGAACATGTGAGTTTCCCAAGTATTTTTCCAAGCATGAGGGATTCTTGTGCTCTAGATCAAGGGGCTCCTAAACTAGCCTTTTGACCCCTAGTGGTCCATCAGTTTTGTTTCAGTGTCTGTAAAATAATTTTTTTAAAAAAATAATAATCATACAGCATCTAGCACAGCGCATTAAAATTGCTACAAAAGACCAACAAATCATTGAGTGGTCCCTCAGGAATTTTCAAATGGTCCATGGGAAGAAATGTTCTGGAACCAATGCTCTAGATGAGATGTTAGAATCAGTGGGTGAACTAGCTAGAGCAGCAGCTGATTAATTGCTGGAGGCCAAACTGCATCTGTGAGGACAAATTTTAATTAGTCAGGCTGAGAGAAGATAACTTTCCTCGTAAGAGCAAATGGCAGGCTTTTGTTCTTTTGGTGTTGGTAACTTAGGCATCATTAAAAATCTCCAGATGCATACACACAATATAGATCAACACAATTCAGTGATTATAAATTTATACAAGTCATTGATTAATGATACATTGACTAAAGAATTATTTAGGTCAGCAGTTGCAATTAAAATTCTACCTATTTTTGTTAATTTTTCATCTACAGTTTCCACCTGCAACTTTCTATCAGCAATAGGTATTTTTTAGCACTTATCCTTCAAATTGTGACCCACCAAGCCAAACACAACCCACTTTTCATAAAGAGAAATATAAATATGCCATATTTGGGGGGGGGGGATGATCTACAGTTCTTTTATATATGAGGAGTTGTCCACAACTCTGCCATATCTCCATAGACCTCTATCCTGTTAGGCAGATTTCCCTAATAACTATAACTGTGGTTAGCTGAAAACAGAAGCAAAAATGTCTGATCTTCCCATGTCCATGCCAACAGGGGAGAAGGCATGGAGTAGTGTGTGAACCCAGGCCTTACCCAGCCTTGTTGCCATAATGGCAAAGTATGGTTTAGCATTAAGTCTGAATGCAGCCACTCAGGCTTCATTTAGTCTTGCCTTCCTTGTTATGTTGTGTTTTAATGTTGTAACACATCCTGGGACCTTAGCTTGAAGAGCAGTTAATAAACATAACAACAACAACAACAACAACAACGCAACTTGCTTGCCTGCAGAAAACCATTATATAAAATAATTGTAATTGCTTCATTAAACTTCTCTTTATTAGTGTTTTTCTTATGCATTATCCTTGTGAGATTTGCAGCCTTGGATTCACAGCTGGGGTCTACCTGGGGGTCCCTGATGTAGTACAATTGAAGAATGGACCTATTGACTCCCTCTGCTGGGCTAACTGATAATTCCCTTCTTGTAGCCTTTTCAATCACCTCATACTAGGAGAGTAGCCAGTGGCCGTGCTCCCAGTTCTAGGGGAATCAGAGCTCTGAGCATCAGAAGTAAAATATGTGGAGAGCTACAAAACAGATGAAGGAAACTATGGAAAATGGACATACCCTACAGACAGTTAGTCAGTGGACTGCTGAACTGGACATCTCTACAAGTGCTGATTTTGCTGGAATTTAAGCATGTCTAATATTCTCCAGAGCAGAAGTAGAGAAGCTAATTTTCAGCCTCAGGTCCACATTACTTCATGGGCAACTTTTTGGGGTCACATGCCAGAGCCCTTAGTTTTGCTTAAATTGTGTGAATAGTTTTCAAATTGATCCTGCATGCATACAGAGTTTTTGATCCCTGGAGGTCCCGACTTGTACCCTCTTTTATGTGCCACTGTTAGCTTGCATGAAGACAGCTACATTTGATCTGAAATAGCCATTAGTTCTTCTTTTGGATTTCTGGAACTGATGGTTCTCCTCATTACATTACAGGAAACCTACAATGCTGAGTGTGAGTTTGTGGAAAGGATTCACGAGCTAGGCTATAATACGTATGCATCCCGCATATACCGGACTGTGCCCAATGGAGCCAGCGGTAGGCGCAAAGCTAGCGCTGAGAGACTCTGGTATGTCTCCATCAATGGGAAAGGACGACCCAGAAGAAGCTTCAAAACCCGTCGGACCCAGAAATCTTCTCTCTTTTTGCCGCGGGTGTTGGATAACAAAGACCATGATATGGTCCGACTATTCCATACAAATGCTAAGTACAGAGAGAGCCTGCTAAAGCCTCCGAGCAAGAACCAGAGGAGACGCAGAGGACACTAAGGGATGCTCTGTGGGGAGGGCAAAGGATGGAGAACCAAGAAGACGAGTCAGTGTTCATAGTGCTACTAAATACAGTAACTAACAAATATGACTGCGTGATCAATGTGGACTCAGAAAGTAATGTTACGCTGTATGTATATATTTTACCAGTTGTCTCACCAAACATACTTGCTAATAGGTGTTTTAGACTTATAATCCATTGTTAAGGGCATATGATATAATAAATCACAGCATGTCCACGTGTAAATTAGATGGATGCACCGATTCTCATTGTTTGTCTTTGACTATTCTTTCTCAGTTGCTTTTTCATTAAGTATTGCCATTTTGTTAAATTAAGGATATTTAAACACAGTCATCTCCATTCCTCCGTAGGGTTGTCATCTGTTCAGAGAAAACTTACTCTGATGGAAATCAAATTAGTTTTAATCAATTACATTTGTAGACATTTGCTTATGACAAAACAATAGTTGAAGAAACCCTTCCTTCCTTCCTTCCTTCCTTCCTTCCTTCCTTCCTTCCATCCATCCTTCCTTCCTCCCATCACTTGAACCTAGTTCCCACTGAAATTATGGGATGACAGACCTGTCCCATTGATTTCAATGAGACTTCGGGTCAACTAATGTTACATCTGCACATCTGAATCCAGCCCAGTGTTTTTAGATGGTGCATGTATGTGTCATGGCAAGCACCACCTTAGAGGCATAAATGTGCAGTTTTATATTTTTTAAAATTACCTTTTAAAAAAGAAGTATTGCCCAGTTAATTTGGGATACCTTTTGAGTTTATTAAAAAAAATTATACAGTGCAATTCTGTATGCGCATACTCAGAGGTAAGTCCCATTGAATTCAATGGAGTTTACTCTCAGATATGTAGGTATAGGCAAAAGGTTGCAGCCCTGGCTTTCAGGTACTTATAATTGTGCAAACATAATATTCCCCTACTCCAATTTAGAACCAATATTAAGAACTGCAATTTAAGAATGATTTATTTTGTAAAATCTTCTTTAAATCAATTTGCCTTTCATTTTAATCAACATTAACTACCAGATATTAGTCATTACTCTTTATTAATGTGAAATGCTAAGCAGAGTGCATTTCGGGAAAGATGCATGCTGCTAAGATTATTGTTCTCTTTTTTAGTTTTGTTTGTTCAAAACTTGAGGATATTTTTAAATAACTTCCTGTGCATCTATAAAGCTTGCTGAAGTGTAATATACATTATTTAAAATCAGGCTTCAGGAGAATATTCAAAACAGGTTGCTAAATGCTATAACAGCTTCTCTGCTTTGACGTGGAACTATGTTAAATCACTTCATTGAAAGAGAATAGCAAAGTTCAAATATCATCTTACACAACATTAAAAAGTACATTGGAGCCTTTCTGAAATGGTGTTTGTGCCACTTGTTAACATATTCAGTGTGAGATAGAATGTGGGATGAGATCAAATGCAACACTGGCCAGTGGCCGCTACAGGATTTTTCTTTTCTTTATAAACTCAAACTAATTTCAGGGTCTTGTGTGTAATTTTATTTAGGTTCCTATCAGCAAGGAGGTCAAAAGAGTTTTGGTACCTTAGATACGCAATTATTGTGGTATGCCTTTTCCCAGGCAAGAGCTTGTTTCATTTGATGTATGAAGCATATATAAATAATATTTTTTAAACTTCTTTTGATTATCAGCAATGCTAAGCTGGTTCTTTCTGTTTGTCTCTCTCTCTACCCTGGATCACATGTCGTGTTAAGCCAGAGTAGAGGGGAAAGGTTTGTAGGGAACACAGCACTTGGTTGGAGATATGGATCATCTGCTCTGATGCAAGGATAGAGAACCACTTTAGCTCAGGGGGCCAGATCTTTATCTCCTCCCACCCCACAGGCCCACTTTGACAGGTGAGCAGGGCTGCCCACATGTCAAACATCTGACATCATGATGACTGATAGGCAGTCCCACTCACCTCTCAAAGTTGACTCACGGGGCAGGGGGTCCACTCTGCAGCACATTCCCTGCAGAGAACATGCTGACAAAGCAGCACCGAGCAGGGTTGACTTCTCCGCTCATCAGTCCTGCTCCCTGAAGCTATGTGGATAGGATTCAACTTTAAGGTGAAAGAAGCTTCCTATCTGTCAGGGTCAAGGATGAAGGCTGCATATACACCATACGTACATTCAAAGCACATGACTTCACTCAAAGAATCCTGGGAACTGTAGTTGTTAAGGGCTGGGAATGGTAGCTTTGTGATGGGTAAAACTACAGTTCCCAGGATTCTTTGGGGGGAGTCATATGCTTTAAATGTCCTCATATGTAAGTATGCATGTACAAGGAGACAGGGGATTCTGCACCTTAGTGGCGTAGAATTTCAGCAGCTGTAACTTCTCTTCTGCATACTGTACTGTAGGCTGCACTCCAGGCGCTGATTTTGTTTGAAAACCCCAGCTTCAGCAACTGAGCTTAGGGATCTTTCTCCCTATGTCTGGATTAATGTATGGCAACCCACAGCCCCAGCCTTACCCTGATGCCACATGAGGGAATGTTGCACCTTGTTGGATGCAAAGGCTAAGGTCAGAGCTGTCATGGTGGTTGACAAAATAGACAGGTCTTGCACTATTCAGGCCAAACCAATCATTTCCCAATCATATCAGAAAGTGGAGAAATCACAAACCCTCAAAGCTATACTGATTTTCAGAGATAAATTTAAGGATCTCATAGCTACCTGAACTCTCTTGACTGCTGGGCTTGAGAAACAAGCAGCTCTGTAATGTGTCGTTCCAGAGAAATATGACCATAACGAACTGAATTGGCTTTAAGAAGGATGCAATTTTATGCTTTCCATTCTACCTATCCATTTCCTCTTCCTTTCTTCTTTTTTTCTTTTCATTTCCCACTAGTAAAACCCTTTCTATATAGAAATAAGTATTGGATGCTTAAGACATCCTCCCCTCTTTGAAAGAAAGAAAAGCTATTTTAAATAGGCCTTTGAAGATTTCAGCAAAGCTCAAGTTCAAATGTCTCCTGTTTCCTTTTGGAAGATCTGAAGGATTTGGGAAGGTGAACAAGCAAAGCTATAATTAAAGAACAGTTGATGGTAACCATCCCCTCCTGGTTAGCATTCTCAAGCCACCTCCAAATATAGACTGCAAAAGAAAACTTCATCCCGTTTTAGGCTTGCAATAGTTCAGATGCCTCAATGGCAGAGCAGAAAGAAAGGCCTTCTGAAAAGCTGAGGCATACACAGAAAGTAGTAATAATAATAATATAAATAGCGTGCCCTTCCCCTCACACAGAAAATCTCCCAGCATTCGCGTGGGTTGGCTGAGAAGCACATTTGGATGATGGCCGGTTGGGAGGGCGCCCTCTGCAGGAATTAAGAAAGATACTGACCAATCCTCTGTCCCGCCCTCTGCCGTGCTGTACACTCACAGGGTGCTAAATCTGCCACTTGGGGAGGTTGCTGGCGCTGGCAACCCATGCTATGTCACTGTCTGGGAGTAAGCCACACAGAATTATATCAGACATACTTCTGAGTAGGCGTGGTTAGGATTGCACTGTATGTTTCTGTGAAAACTGAATTTTTAAAAATTGGTTGGGAGGATTGACTGGTGAGAAAGATGAGGGAGGTATTGGGGGGGTGCATGCCCTGGATTGAAATGTTTTGATGTGGGCAGTTTGTGCACAGATATGTTTATGTCTTCTTCCTTGCCTCTGTGTTTATCTCCACCCTCCTTGCATAAAATGTTTTAGAAAGGTAGGTAATAAATGCTACTATAAAAAAAACCAGCACAATCCTGTACATTTCTACTCAGAAGTTAACTCCATGTGTATATAAGCATACACATACATCAGAATGATTTCCTTTTATTTCTAAATAAAGGTCTTACAGATAATAATCCAAGAAACATCAGAACATGAACATCCATAAATGTCATTAAAAGAGCTTTTGTTGTTGCTTTGGAGAGCATTTTCCTTTAAACGTGACATCATGTTATTTTAAATTAAATAAGTAAAAATCAAATCAAATAAAGATTTAATGCCATTACGAGAACAGAATACTCAAGCTCACAACTCAGCTAAATCTCTTGTACTCTGCAACACAGAATGTGTAATTATGCACTGTGGGATAAATTCAAAGAAACGCTGAGACTGTTTCAAAGGAGGGGCCATGTGAGAGAATAATGAGTTGCCTTGCTTTTCAAAAGAAACTCTGGGCACATCTATAGGGCATACAAACTGGAGCAGACCTCCCTCAAGGCATGGTGGTAGTGGGATTGTATGCTCTGATTGTAAAGGCCCCTATGGATGAGTTTTCTTGGAAAAACAGGCCGTGACCAACCAGGGTCCAGGCCAAGCTTGCATCAATGTTTTGTATTCAACAGCGATTAGCCTCTCCACCCTAGAAGCTGATCTTACAAATAAGTCAGCATTGTGCATGGAATGGAGGCAGTTTAAACAGAGACCCTCTTCCATGGTCCCGCTGTCAAAATTCAGTTGCATTCCAGCTGGAAAAGCAACGACAGCTATGAACATGGTACAAGTGATTTCTGTTAAGCGGCTATACAGCATTCCTATTGCAGAAATCATCTTCATGTTTGAATAACCTATTTGGATTCTTTTTCCATGAAAATAATCACCTATTTGGATTCTGTTTCCGTAGAAAAAATATATCATGCACATAGCTAAAAACCGTCTCTATGAATTTCTAACTTGATGTGCAGCACTTTAATTTTTGTAAGCAGAGTAGTCAAACATGCAGCTTTCACAAGAGTCTGAATAGTTTGCTGAAACTGTATTACATGATTCTGGTGCTTGTGAAGATCAGCTGTAAATCAGGCAATGGGCAGAGGAATTATTTGATGCAAGAAAACCTATGGCGCCTGTTGGACTCCACAACTTCCACCAGCCTCAGCACCATCTACTGTGGCCAATGTCCCAGGATGGGAATTGTAATCTAGCAGGGGAGGTTCCCCATTTCTGGTTCAATGAAAAGGTGAATTGCCATGGATGTTCCA